TTATTCCCGCCCGCGATTGGTCACTTGTTGCGTTCGATCAATATGGCTGGATAATGGAGAAAGACGTTTGAAACTATTGTGGCTAGTATTTAGCAAGCCTGCTTGTTCGGGTTAAAAAAGGGTTAGGGAGAATGGCATAGAAAAAGCGTTCTCTTAGCGCTCTCTTCGCCTTCTCTTCGTCCTTGAATTAATGATCCCTTCTCCCTTCCCTTTACACGACAGCCAGTCCCCTAGCTTCCTTCTTCATCTTCAAATTGATTTCTTTGCCAGCTCTTGAAAAGAGGGTGTATTAACAGCAATTGTGGCAATGATAACAGTGTAGAATAAGGCAAGCAAAGGGGGATTGTAATTCTAGTTATCAACGTGACCTGCGTTTCTCTCACTACTAGAACTTGCAAAAGATGAGTGCCTTTCCAAAAGTGGTTGACATTTCTCACAGGAAACCAGGTAATTGAAAATTACGTAACTCATACCAATCGTCGTTCATACCTGTCTCTTACCATCGAACGTAGTCTCGGGATACCTTGTTGCTAGTAATTTAAGAGGAAAGGTGGAGAATGAAAGTTTTGTGCTCTATGAATTCTAATAATCGAAAACATCAGGAAAGTTTTTTTTAGGATGGATTTGCAATCGATTATAAATGCGTACTTGTATGAGAGAATCAAGAAAAAAAAAAAAACAAGGGAAATAAGGAAAGAAAAAATGAATCTTTGGATTGTCACTCGTTCGTTATATCTGTTGCACCAGCTATCCCATTTGTAGGCTGAGCGAGAGACCTCATGCCTCAGTAGAGTTGTTTCAAATTTGAATGAAGCAACGATCCTAATCCTAAGATGCTTTCTTTCTCAGTAACCGATCTTGTTGTCTCAAACAGGGTCAGTTCCCGCGTTAAGCAAAATGACTCCAGCTAACCATTTGGTAGAGCGAGCAGCTATTTTGCGGGATCTCAAGCGACAAAAAGAAGAGGTGAATACAGTCTTTTTATTTCTTCTGTCCTAATTCGACGGTTTAGAATGAAAGGATTTTAAAATCGTCTATGATGGTAGAGCTGTATAAGTCGTGTCAATATTTGTTTTCTTTTCAGCTCCAAGGGAAAATTCAGAAGTTAATAGCAGCAGAATATCCAGGAGGAACATCACAAAGCTCTTTTTCGTCGTTTTTATCTCCAACGTTTTCCAAGGTATTGTCAGCTTTTTATCTGAATTGCTTTTTCTTTCTTGAAACCATGCTTCGTAACAGACCTCTCCATCGAGCAACCCTATTGGCTCGTTCTTTCGTTCCTTCAGCTTGATCTGTCCTACTTCGATCATGGGTGTGGAGTGTGTTCGTTCGTTCGTTCGGTCGGTTCGTCGATGCAATCACGTTCGATTTTTGTTTGGTTTTATCATTGTTTGTTGCATGTGGGCCTTTTCCGCGCTTTCGTTCGTTCTTGCGTAAGCTGATTCGAGCATTTGGCTGATTGCAGGGTATTTGTTTATTTACTGTATGCGTCATTAAGTTATGTCGTATCCTTTCCCTTGTGATACAGGTACTGCAAGAGAAAGCTCAGGCTCCTCAGCTTGGGAGAGTCACCATTCCTGTGCCATCGAGCACCAAGTCCAATAAATATTGCGTCACTCTGAAACCACAGGAATTCAGAACACTTCATACTGTATTTGTCAGTTAAAGAAACGAAAATGTGTACATAAATTATAAAATCTGAGACAGAATAATGGTATATTTAGCAGTCGGAGGTGGAGAAATAAGTGTTTTCTCCTTGCCGGACCGGATCAGCTGTGACTTTGAAATTCTTACTACATAGTGCCGCACATTTTCTTTTCTGCTATTTTTGAGATGGTCGCAGTGTACGGTATTCTTTACTCGACTTTACAAATTGATGATGAGCTGCTTCGCATATCTGCACTACTCCGCAGTATTTCTGTCATCTCAACGGATATAGTGACTCTTCAAGAAAGGAAAACGAGAACAACGACGACGATAACGGCTAAAACAATAAATGCTAAAGAAAAACTAAAGTTAAATAGAGAAGAGCGTTCTATGAAATATCTAAACTTTGGCAAAAGGCGGGAAGGGCTTCAATGGTTCGCTTCCAGGAACACGAGATGCGATGCTGGTATGCTGGGAGGTAATTATCAAAAGAACAGTAAACCGTAGATTTGAATCGTTTGAAGTGAACGGCAGCAGATGGAAGAAAACAGGCCTTAAGTCTCTCGGAGATTTTTTTTGAGCTGCTAGGAAATAAAGAATACGCAAATACATTTATAACTGATTACAGGTGTCTTATATTGAGTTTTGTTTGAAACCAGGCCTGGTTTGATACAAGCTTCTTTTGAGGATAGATCCTTTTTTCAATCCTTCTTCCCTTATTTCTTAGCTGTACTCAAATACTCAAATCTGATTGGCGATGCATTGTATTACTCAGAGTTTTCGCGCCAAGAAAGCGCTTGGACGACGCGCCGTCGCAACTGCTGGCTGTTTACTTCTATCCCAGCTTTTTCAGAAAGGTCGTTGAGTGTCGAAATCGGACACTATATCTCGGAAAATCAAAGGCATGGGGTGAGACCACAAAGGGTATCGACTTGCAACGTTTGGATCAGGGCGGAGTGAGGTTACCTCTCCGTCCCGGTTTAGCTAAGGATATCAACGCAGTGCTCCTACTGTAGACACGTTTAAAATAGTTAATGCTTTAGCATAGCTCGTTAAATGTTTACAGTATCAACTTTCTATAGCAACGCGTCATAAGTGTTTCTCAGATTGTTTTTTTACGCATACGATAGAACGTAAGCATTTTTTCCTTTGCCACGCAAATGAACGGCTACGAAGAAGGATATCTTCGCTCGCATAACCCGAAGTGCCGTTATTTATTCTATGAAGCTAAAGGTGAAGGTCGCGACGGTGTTATGCTGGTACACATAATAACTGGGTCTCAACACTTCTGCAGCTTCTTGGTTTAGTAGCTATCTATCCAGTAGATATCAGAGAGTACGATATGAAGATTCAGTCTCAGAATTGTTACCTTTAACAAACGGAGTACCTCAGGGGTCAATCTTGGGTCCTGTGCTTTTTTCTGTCTACATTAAAGATTTAATCAGTGCTATTACCCACAGTCAAGCCGCTGCGTATGTTGATGATTGTCAATTGCATTTTAAATTTCCCATATCAGACTCATCAAGTCCTATAGTCGCCGTAAATCATGATCTTAGGAACATCAGTAGATGGTGTGCAGAGAATTCTTTACTCATAAATCCCGAGAAGACAAAATTGGTGGTTGTTGGCTCAGCACAACTTCTTAAGAGGCTACCTCATATCTCCTTAACTCTGCTGGGCAAGACTATCTCACCAGTTTCGTTTGCTAAGGATCTCGGGGTATATGTGGATCAATATCTTAACTATGATGTGCAGATTACTAAAACAGCCTCTAGTTGCACGAACCAGTTAGTACAGATAAGAAGAATTAAGCACCTTTTAGATAAGAAAACACTTTTATTACTTATAAATAGCTTTGTTTTTAGTAAATTATTTTATTGTTTCTCAGTGTGGGGGAACACATCTAAGCGTCATCTACACAAACTACAGTTGGTACAAAATTTTGCTGCCAGAATTGTATTAGGTTTAAGGAAATTTGACCATATCTCTCAGGGGCGGAGATCTCTTAGATGGTTAGATGTTACAGAAAAGGTTTTATTTAATGATTTAGTTTTAGCATATAAAGGTGTAACTGGTTTAGCTCCAGACTATTTACGTAAATATTTTGTTAAGCGTTCAGCAGTTCACAATAGGAACACAAGGGGATGTAATGATTTTGTGATCCCCCGATGTAGATTGTCAAAGGGCATTTTATTTTCGCGGCCCACGGGAATGGAATGGTCTACCTGACAACATTAGGAATACTAAAGATATTGATATTTTTAAGTGGAAACTTTTTAACAATATGTTCTATATGTAGTAAATTTGGATACACTTTGAATGATTTTAAATACATTTGATTTTAATTAAATTACAGTAAATAAGTTAGTTAACATTGTGACCGAAAAGCCCCGTTGAAGGGAGTCTCGATAAAGTATGTATGTATGTATGTAAGAAGGCAAAGGTTTGGATCCGAAAAGGTCAACAGACCTTTTTGGCTTGTCACGCAACACCTTGCTGTGAGTGTCATTTTTCACACAACCTTTAGTACCCTTGTTTATTCTTTTGGGATAAACTTGTTGAATAGTCCTCTCCTGTTTTTCTGCTATTGAAGCTTGAAGAACCACCTGCTTAGATGTTAAAATGTTTCACGTAGTGTGTCACCATCTCTTGGTTAACGGGTGCCTTCACGCAAGGAACTATTGTCGTTTTGAGGTCACTCGAAGGTCCTTATTGACCAGCAAAGACAATTCCAGTGAAGCTAAGGGTTACAGGGAGTTGCAAATTCTTACTAAACACTAGAAACAGCAGGTCAGTGCATCCATTTTAGTTTATGTTTATGGGAAGTGGATGTGACCTTAAAGTGTCTATATGGCCAACAGGGTTTTTATTGTTTTGGTATCTCTTTAACCTGTTAAAAATGTATTCCCACAAAAAAAATTTGATTCTCACGCCTCTTCACCCTAAAATCGAGCTTTAAAGTTCCCACCTCGGCCACGCCCAATAAAGTTGACCGCATAAGGGAAGATTGGTGATGAGTGACGTTACTCCAGGAGCGTCTTGAGCGTCCTGTTGTTACTTTGCTTGACAAACGCAGTACCTTTACAACACGTCTATTGGGCATATTTGTGTCGCCAAAAACTCTTTACCCTACTGAAAAAACAGTGAAATGAACCACTGGCGGGATTTGGCACGTTCCTGACTTGACGTCATGACCCATTCTGAACCCAATCTCTTTTTTGCTCCGACTCACGGTCACCTTCAATGGGCGTGGCCAAAGCGGGAAGTTTAAAGCTCGATTTCGGGGCGAAGACTCGTCAGAATCCAATTTTTATTTAAGAATACTTTTTTACTTGTTAAATACATACCAAAACTATAAAAACCCTGTTGGCCGTATAGACACTTTAATCTTCGATATGCTCATAACTCAGCCATTTCAGCATTGTTGTCATGTATAGCTCAACATGTAGAATTTTGCCAAAGCGTAAGCCAAACAGAATAATTATTATACTTGCCAACATCAACAAAGCATATTGTTTAAAGAAAACTATGTTCTGACTTCCTCAATTTGTATCTTCTCTAGTTCTCGCACACTCAAACAAACAGATCATTTGTTTGTTCTTGATATTACTCAGCACACTGAAAATAAACCTATTCTACTGAGGCTTCGTTGCATTTCAAACCACAGCAAAATTTTCTTGGACACAATTTGTGATCCTAAGTTGGTAGAAATTTCATCTGATCTGGTAAGACTGATTTAACCTCATGAAAATTTACACAAATAGTTTTAATATTTCTAACATATAATTTATTTCAACCTATAGTGACAAAGAAACTGTTCTTAACTGAACAGTGAAAAATCAAAGCAACTGGTCAAAGGGTTCTCAGAAAGGTTGCACATTAATCAGTCATAAATTTCTGAACTTTAATGGCATAATATGTCAGGGGGACCCTAAAAGACAAAAGGGCGGAATGGCAGAAAATGACCCCAAATCCTAAAACATGGAATGGTGGAAAATGACCCCAAATCCTAAAACACAGAACGGCAGAAAATGACCTCAGTTATCATATGGCATCAGGTTTGGGCATTTTTCCCCTATACAAATGACAGTCTGGTCACTGTTTGCATATCCATCGATGACACCACCAGGGAGAATTGTAAGCTCTTTGATCAGCCATTCTTTCTCAATAAGGTAGAGGCATATACTGCCTTAAAAATACACAGATTATGGTACCTATTCCAAAACAGAGCCCAAGTATTTTATTCAATGGATTCCATTCATCAATGAAAATATTAAGACAAAACAGGGCTTGACACTAACGGTAGTGAACTAGCCACAGACCAGTAGAAATTCAGTTTTGGTTAGTGGTTTTCGATTTCCACTAGCCAGTTTGGCTAGGCAACTAACTGAAATTGTCATGACATCTAAGTTGTCATTTAGTAGCCACTTGGCTAGCAATATGAAAAGTTAGTGTTGAGCCCTGCATAATAATTATGTTAAATGATTTTGATCAATACATGTTACCGAAAAGAAAAATTTTAATTTTACTACTGATTTTCATTTAAACAGGATGCCTTCAAGTTATCCCAGGATCACACAAAGGCCCCCTATAACTCTCACTTCTAAGATGGTGCATTTATATCTGCAATAACAGACCCTGCATTTCACTCTAGTTCTGCAGTTCCTGTTGAAGTTCATGCGGGTGGGGTGTCTTTTCATCATGCTTTCTCAGTCCATGGCTCTTCAGCTAACATGTCAAAACATTATCGCCGTTTGCTTTGTTTTAACTACAGCTCAGCAGACAGTTGGCCTCTTATTGGTGTTGGAGGGCATGGCCCTGTAGATTGGGAAAGATACTGTTCCACTTTGGTTAAAGGCAAACCAAGTTTATTTCCTTGTATGCAAGCACTGCCTGTCTCTATTCCAATTCCATTTGATTCTGGTTATAGCATTTATGAACACAGTAAATCTAGTGATGTAAGTGATCCTGAAAATTCAGAAGCATGGATTTCAAGTGGAGGAGTGACCCAGTGTGAAAGAGGGTGAAATCTAAAATCAAGCAATGGAGTTATAGCATGCCTTTGATCATCATTGAGATCTCTATGATAATAACAGTATAATTACTGAACATTATTTGAATGTCTGATTGAAAAATAATCAGTGCTGCACAGGTCTCTAAATGTCACATTGGGCCAATTGTCATGGTGAGCAGGCTCGCAGGAGTGTTTCTGATGTTAAAACAGTAACTTGTGTCACAGAAACATATCGTGGAAGTACTCTTCAAATTCTTCCTCCCTGTATAAACAACAGAATTCAAAGCAAATTATAACTTTAATTTTCCTTTCTCTCTTAAATGTAATGAAATGAGGGAACACTAAGTCTCATAAGCATAGAGGTGTGAGGGGCAGGGGGGAGCAGTAGAATTTTTGACCAGGGAGGAGTTTCTCTAGAAAAGTCCAGATTTGAAAAGGGAATATCCCCAAAAACTGTAGCAAGTTGGAGATCACAACTGTCACAGTTAAATAAATATAAATCTTATTAGATGTTTTGTTGTGTAGTATCACTGAGTACTTTTACGAGTTGTGCTGTATTTTGACGAGCCTGTAGGGCGAATCGAAATACAATAATGAGTAAAAATACTCAGCGATACTACACAACAAAATGTCTAATAAGTTATTTATTATTCAACACACCAAATTGTTATTTTAGTGCAGGGGGATTTTGCAGATATTTATTTACAGGGAGTGCATGACAAGTATGCAAAGTGGTACAGAATTGGCGCATTGTCATGTTGCTGTTTCTATTTTCTTCAATAAATGAAAAAATTTCTTGATCATCTAGCTGTTTTTCTTTATTCAATTCATCTAATAAACTTGGATCTATATTCGCTAGCCATTACAACTCTTCGTCATCAGAAATATGATTCAAATTCTCTCTGAGGGTATACTGAAACATGGTGAGAAAATAATCAAATGATGAAAGTGCACACCTTGTTTTATCAACAGTAATCTTTGCTGGACCTTTCCAGATATCTTCATCAGTGCTTGTAGACTTGGGGTTTTCAGGGTTTAGGGTTGATGATACACCAGCCGTAGTACCTAATAAATTGGAATGATATTTAAGTTTGTACATATCAAGAGAGAACTTGGGTATTGTTCCCCATTTAAATTCCTTCATTGAATCAGCCAAAAAATTTTTTTAGAATGTGTGAACTCCCAAGTTCTGATGAGTGATTCTCTACAAACTGACATAAATTTCTATGTAATTAAGTTTGGACAATTTGGTGTTATATTATCTCAGGATAATATTTCAATACTGAAAGACATAATAAGTCTTTTCTCCTAACCTGTTAGCTGCATAACATATTAATGAATTATGGGGAGAAACTTGTTTTATTAACAATTTCTGCAAGCCAGTCTTTACAATTTTACATTCAGTGAAAAAAATACCAAACTTACTGCTGTCATCTTCAGAGTCTTCTGAGGAATCAGAGGAGTCTCGCTCTCTGTGTCTGTGATGTTTATTCTTCTTCTTCTTTTCGGCTGAATGTGATTTCTGTGACTTAGTTTCCCCCTCTTTTTTCTTTTGCTTAGCAAGTTTCTTCCTGTGCAAAAGACAATTACACTTTTAATTTATACATTTTAGAAGACAACTCTCCCAAGCCGCTTAATAAATTACCAACTGTGACAGAAGGTTGAGCTAAAGAATGGAGAGCCACCATAAGTTTATTTTCCATTTGGAAAGACTACTTGTCTCTCCTACCATCATTCAATGTCTTTACTTAAAAATTAGTAAGATTATTAATATCTCTTTATTGAACATTACACCTCTGAATTAAATAACTCCCAGTTTTGTGTGTAAATGACACAGACATGGATGGAAAAAGGGGAGTCTGCTTCCTTTCTCAGGAGAGTCGCGAGGACATGCTGCTAGATAATTTATGGTAAACTCACTTCTCTGGCCTCTTTACTTAAATTAAGTCTATCCTGGACATGGTTTAAACCATTTCTGGACAAGATATGGTTCTATGACATTTTGAAAGCTGAGCATAAAGCAGAGCCTAAATTCGGGGGAAATTATCCCCTGAATGAAGGTGTGTCTGCATGGGGTGATGAGGTGTCTCTTGGAAGAAGTGGCATTAAAGTTCTTAAAACTAACATCATAGTTAATTGTTCCAGTGTATCAGGTCAGTTGACTCACTTGTGATGATAATTGAGTTTATAGGAACAATCTGGACAGAGCCCTAAGTGAAGTTAAAGTCATTAAGATAATGTTAGAATTTCAGAATAATAATATTGACCTCTGTAAAATTGGTAATTTAAAAAAGTTTGGACTCAGTAATCTAAAAATGAATGAGGAAAACTTTATACATACTGAGTTTGATGAGAGTATTTTTCTTTTCTCCATGTTCCATATATGCAAAATTAACCTTGTTACAAAATAAATAACAAACATCAGCCATAAATATATGTATTTGCAAACCAATTATTGCGAAGATACTGTTTTGGCAGAGTAAGTCTCTAGAGAGGAGGGGGCTTGAAAAGTATCTTACCATCCACTAATTGAACATTCTGAGTGCACTACTTACCTCCCAGCTGCGAAGTCCTTCATACTCTGAACATCTCTTGTCTCCACAGATGAACTGCCCTAAGAATGAATTTGAAGAAAATGTCAAACATTAAATTTGTTATATTACTTAAAATTATAAAAAATTTAAAAAAAAAAAAAAATTTTAGCATTTCCTATGATGCCAATGATTTCAATGATCTTGTTGGGCTAAATAGACTTGATCATCAGACATTTACGTGCCCATGACCAGACACCCTAAAGGGTGCAGATAACACCCTTGGATAGGCCTGTTTCACTACACATTTGACAATACAGTCCATTTGTCTAAGGTGAACATCATCACCATCCTATTAATTACGAGCATTCAGCAAGTTTAAACCTGTTAACAGTTCTTTCCTGTAAACTGAGTTATCTAGCTCTAAAATTATGGTTTGGACTTGGCATAATTCAACAGGTCTAACTTTCCTACCCAGACCAAATTCGGTTTTGACACACAGACTCTTAAAGCAATTTAAGACTGTTTTGGTTTTGTTTCTGCAAATCACTTTGCTCTGTGAATTGTCTGGAAAACACATGCCAATGAAAATTACCTTTTGGTGTGGAATGTTAATAATGTAAATAATTAAGTAAGAAATTTAGCTGATGACTTTAGTTAGAAAGTGATCTTCTCACACCTTTTCCTTCAATTACTTCTTTTTCAATTCTCCACCTTAAAGCCACCTGCAATTCAGGATAGCAACATTGTCAAAGACTCTTGTTTAATGACAATCATACTAAACAACTTTATATCATTGTTGCTTTTGTAATAAATACACATTTTTTTAACTGTCACCTTGTTTTCCTTGTATCTACTAAGATCAGAAATGCAGTATTCTTTAAAGAGTTTATCGTAATACTTCTTAGCCAAACGTTTTTCCCTGAAAGAAGATTGAAAATCGAGATCATTGCTTGAAAATCAAAGAAATCCCTATCAAGTTGCACACAGAATACTTCAATAAAGCACCTACCAGGAACTTTCTGGGTCATCCTCTTCATGCCAAATAAACCTATCAATATAAAAATTTATTTAGTTCTAATGAATGCTGGTTATTTCAGAAGAGTTCAGAAACTTCTTTCCAATGAAATGATACAGAAAAAAATTTAGGTAAGAACTCTCAGTTATCAACTCTGACTAGTAATAATGCAGATGTCGACTGAGTCCTGGAATTGGCTTTAGTTAATAGTCTGTTATTTGCCAACTCATTCTTTGTTTGAACAGAAATTCATCCAAAACTATGCAACTGGAGACAGTTTTTTCCAGTACGATGCAAAAATCTGGAATTGTTGTGTTTAAAGCCTCCAATACAAAGAAAGAAAATACTTCATATCCCAATTAAAGATAGAGTAAAAGACCTTTTTTTGAACAGTACCTCTTCTGTACAATACGTTGTCTGTATGCTACTCTATGCAACTGTTTGTATTTGTGTGTAAATTAAAGGCAATTTAGTAAATCTGAGGTAACCTATTCTTGTGACAAGGGTTTGTTGGTCTGCATCAATTCATCTTTTTAAAAGTCAGTGACTGTGATACTCAATTATACCCTTCATGACACAATGTTTGTGGTTAAGGAAAGGGGCATTGAGACCTCTGGGAAACCACAAAACTGGAGAAAAAAACCTCCAAAACCAAAAAACCGATGAAAAAAGGCAGCAAAACCGAAAACCGCACGCAAACCTGACAAAACCGCTACACTTTCACCTTTAAAGAAGTCAAAAAGGAAAAACCGAAAACCACATCAGAGTTTTCATGAAAACCGAAAACCAAATGCAAAAACATGTAAAATCCACAAACCACTCTGAACATCAAAACCGAAAAACCGAACCTTTTTGGTCCAAAAACCGAAAAACCAATCCAAAAAACAATCAAAACCACAAAACTAAAAATCCCAAAGCCCCCCTTGTTAAGTATACACACCTATGCTCCTCCTTGATAACATCCATGTCTGTTTTATCCCTGGAGCTATTTTGCCATAATTAAATAGATAAACAAATATAGGATTAAAGAGATTATAGATTGTTAGAAAATACAGTATTCATTACTTTGCAGAATTTTTTTCAATGATAACTATCGGTAGGAACATAAAATCATAATAAACTCCTAGTTGAAAGTAACCAGCCATATTCTATCACTGTACAGATCTTACTCTTGGTTTGTAAATCCTTGACATCTGACATCAGTCTGCACATTCTCAATACTCTTCTCTGTACAGTTATTTGGTATTGGTAAGGAGAATTTGTTTAACAATGAATCAAGTTAGAGCTTCTTTAGTTGGTGGTCATTTTCTTTACTCTAATGGCCTTAACGTTTCATTCACTTGTAACAATGCGAGGAGAAGTTAGATAGTAGTCACCCTTAGGAATTAAGGGGTTAAGCAATGATCACTAACAAACCTGTCCCTTTTGAAATGTTCTATTCCTCTTCCATAGTACAAGATGTAATCATTGATCATTTTCTTGTGTTTTGAGTACTAAATATTATTGAAGTGACACGTTAAGGAATTGTTGACACAAAATGTAGAGAATTCTTCATGTATAGTGATCTTACTAACAGGTTAGGTTATACGGTACGAGTAAAGAAAGATATTGAACTTGATATCATTTTATAAAATCTCAAACACACGGAAGGATTTCTAGTCAATATTCAAAATCATCCGAGCCCAAGACTTCCGCCTGCCTTAATTGTTCTGTATATAACCCTATGAGGACAATGATAATTATTGGGACAATATCTCGAACATTAATTTTAGTGTACACTGCAGCTGCATAATAATCAAATTAATAACGTGGAAGATACAGCATCCAAGGCAATGAAATCATATTTCTGGCCCTTAGCTTCTTGCCTGCAATATAAAAGTAATTCTGAATTAATAACTCGAAAAAGATACATAATCTCATTTCATCAGATTTCTAATTACGTGACATGCCTGCTATATTCACTAGAAACTACACGTTTAGATGGTAGACCGCCGGTCGTATTGGCCTTCCGTTTGATCCCAGATAGTTCATCGTCTCTCCAGGTCTTGTTCCTGTATCAGAGAAAAGTTTCGATTGTAAAGATATCTCAACAACAAGAGTAGTTTAAAGATAAACAATCAAGCTTGGCGAGTCATATAACTTTTTACCTCTCCGCTGCCTCCTGTTCATCAAACTCAGAGCCATATCCCACGCCGTAATCAATCTGAAAGTGACAAATGTTGAGGTTTTACACTTTAAGGGACAAGATACAAAGATCGTTCCCACATTTTTAAGATATAAGATGCTTGCCTCTTGCCCTCTATCCGCCATGTTTTCTTTTTGCGACGAAACGCTGTCCAAGTATAGAGGGCTCATAATTTCTTTTCTGGTTCCCAGGTTCTTTCGACTATGGAAAGAGATCTGGGGAAGGTGTACATTTATTATACGCTAAAAATCTGTTGAGAAAGTGGATATATTGGCGTTTGAGAGGTCCAGCCAGCGGGTGTATAAGAGTACGAAATGGGTCTTTCAAGCTGGTTTCGGGATCTTGGTGTTCCGTGGAAGATATCCATTGGAATTCTTAGTGGCGTTGCAGCTGTGACAAGCGCCTACGGACTGTTCACATTGTACGTCAATCAAAAATCAATCGATCAGAAAAAAAAATCTGACGATCGAGAGACAGCTGGAGATGCAGCAGAGAAAAAAGTTCTAGTATTGGGACTGGAAAATTCTGGAAAGAGCACATTTCTGGCCGCTTTGGCTCAGCACGACAGCCCCGTCACATCTGAGCGTGAAGTTAGCCAGCCAACCCAAGGTTTCAATGTTGTTTGTGTATCAACCGGAGGCGTTAGCCTTAATGTTTGGGAAAGTAAGTAAGCTTTACCACTGCAGATAACAAGAAAAAAACGAAGCAAACATGGCTTAATTACGTACTTTGCACCATATTAGTATTGTATTGTCAGTTGTAATGGAGAGCTTTGAAGAGTGGTGATTTGTGCAAGCCTATATGAACACCCCGTATACCCTTGTATACAGAATCTAGGTGCACTCTTTCTTAAACAGAAGCTGGTTTTCCTGGATAACGTAAAATCTTCTTCTTAATACAGTAGCAATAACTAGTGAATGGCTCTTTCTAAGGGAATCTCCCTCTAGTTCCAAAATTAACTATTTCCTAGTTAAGTCTACTTGTAAAGTCATCTATATCAACCAATTTTGACCTTGACAACCAAAAACTGTCAAGTCAGCTTTTGGAAAAAGGCAAGAGAAAAATGGCCATTATCCTCTGACAGCATGATCAAAACTGACAATCAGAGAAAACTTGTTGAGAAGGAAGAGATGAGTGAGACAGTGCTTAATCATGCCACCTGTTGCAGGGCTTATTTTGAAAACATTTGTTTGGAGATGCCTCAGCCAGTGGTTACAGGATCCCCCTCCTCCCACCCCAATTTTTGTCTCTTTTTCTATCACTAAGCTATGGAGAATTTGTGGGTAAGCTATGCTGTGTATCAGGTTCATCTGAGACAGGTGTCCTGCTTTATACTGCCAAGACCATAATGTGGAAAGTATCATTTGCATAACCAGAAAAAGAAAGGTGCTAAGTTTTGAGCTTGGTCATTGAATTTATGAAAAATGTCTTGAACATGGAATGAAATGATAACTCCTTCTATTTGATGACCCAGCCCAAAGATTTACATAACTCCTTATATATTTACAATTCCAATATTATATTGGTATAATGATAACGTCTTTGCATTTTTTGTGTTAACTAGTTGGTGGAAAGGTTCAATCCTACTGGCCAAACTTCCTCTCTGATGTCAGTGTCATTGTGTATGTCATTGACAGTAGTGCTTCTGCAAAGTTTACGGAGTCTAAAGATGCCCTATTGGCAGTTCTTTCAGAGGAGAGCATCAAGGGGATCCCCTTAATATTACTTGCTTGTAAGCAAGATGTTGAAGGGGCAAGGCCAAGACAGGAAGTAGAATCATTCTTTGGGCTTCAAGAACTATCTGCTAATCGTAAAACTGGAATTGTTGGTGTTGAAGTCTTGTCCAGTGGAGCAGTCCATGGATTGGAAGAGGCCAAAGAACTTATCTTGAAGTTTTGTGTAGAATAGGTGGTTTTTCCCCTTGAGGTCTTTTACTGGAAAGGCCTTCATTAAGAATATGTGGGTATAGTCATTTTCTATTTATGTCACCATAGGTAACCATGTCCAACCATGTGTCGTGTAAATAAATTTTATTTCATTGTGAAACGTATACTTATTGAAACAGAGTCTTGCTAGGGGAAACTTAGAAATAGTGGCTCTCCTATTGAATATAACAACATTCAGAGAACTATGATCTTTCTCATTTCTACCTCAGCTTGAGATGCAGTATGACAGACTTGAGCAATGACTTGGGTACTCTGTCCTTATGGTCTGTCAGGATTCAGGCTGACTCCAAATTAAGAGCTCTGGATTCAGGTTTAAGAATTAAAGATCACTCTTGTTCTATTTTCTTGTCACATACCCAGTGACATGGATAATAAACCACTTGCTAGACATGTGAGATTACCTGTCGCAAGCCTTCAATTTATTTGTTTCATTTTTCCCCAGTGTAAATAGTTTCAACCCAGGAGTAGTAGTTGGAGTCTAGTTGTCCAAGTGAGTGCATTCTTAACAAGCACTGTTGTCTATGATTTTGGTGAATCTTTGTCAACGTCCCTAGGGGAAGTCTCAATCAGAGTTGTAATTTATGGTGCCTTCTGCTCAAGTTTTCAAAATGCTAGTTGCTGTCACTGTCAGTAGTCCTTTTCATGACTACTCTCACCTGAGCAAATCAGACTTCTTGTTCAACTTCTGGTATTTATTGCAAAAACATTGCTCCCAATACAAACTGTAAACCAATTGCCAGTCAAATTAGAGTAAATATATTCTTAATGAGAAAGAATTGACTTTTCAAGATAAAAATATACTCTTGACAAACTTCATAACTTAAATGGTGCAAGAATGTACTGATGTTAGCCTCCCGGTTAGCTCAATGGATAGTGCTCGACTGTTGTGCGGGCGGTCGAGGGTTCGAGCCCCGGCCAGACCAACACTCAAGGTCTTAAAATAACTGAGAAGAATATGCTTCCTTTCTGTAACATCAAGAAATGGTTAGATATTCTAGTCTTCTCGGATAGGGACGAATAAATGGAGGTCCCGTCTCCTGCAGGGTTAGGGGTAGGAGACGTTAATTTCCCACGCACGAGTATACTGTGTGATGGATGTCCTCCCCTGGGGTGGGTTGGGTGGGTGCTTACAGGGCTATTCTGAAAACCACTTCTGTGAGAACACACCCTGTCTAAAGATTATTATCTCTCTCTCTCTAGAAACAACAACAAAAAATACTCGAGGAAAATGCATGAGGGTAGACATCTTAAAATCAATTTTTTTAAAGGAAGGTATAAATAAAATTGATCTATAAGTTTCAATAATGGCCTTTTTAAGATTATTTTCAAGAAAAATCATATACTCTTAAAAGAATATCCTGGGTGGCTTAACAGAGATTCAAACTGAATATTTTCCAGGTTCAAAATTTGGATCTCTGATTTACAATTGACTCTACTTAATTAACCAAGCAATGTTAAGAAGTCTAATGTACACAGTAAGTGTTTTCCCCAAGTTTGAATCATAAGATTTGCATTTGAAAAGTGGCAGGGTTTTTCTCTTTGGGTCATACGCGAAGGAACTTGGATGGGAGAAAAAAGGATAACAAAGGTTTCTTGTTAAACCAGTAATTTATTGTGAATAATAATTTGTGAATATTGTAAATATTTTGAGTAATAATTTGTACCACAACATACAGTAATTTAGCCAAACTGTTAAACTTAAGGGGGCTAATTTTGATATTAATTTCCGTAACATACCAAGTAACATACCAAGTAACATAACTCTATTGATTACTGATCACTGTCTTTTTTTCTCCTTAATTTTTTTATTTGACTTGTTTTTTAATTCAAAGACATTTTCTCCGCAGCAGTATCACTTTTATACCAGCAATAACCAACATCACTCACTAATAAAGGGAATGCATGGGAAAAAGAGGGCACAATGTGATTTCTGAGTCACTGATAGATTATCCTTCCAGTTGGCCTAGTATTTCCCTGGGAAACACAAAAGTAAATTGATATTCTAGAAAAGTTACTTATAATAAGCTTTGCTTTGCTTGATGAAGTACCATAACATTACTTACACTAGGCATAGTACTGTCTGGATTTTTTTTTAACTGCATTCATGAAAAAGGTAAAAAATCCTACATATCAAACCCTAAATACAATCAAATGAAACCCACATTATTGTCAGATTACACAATTTCATGGTAAATAAATTGTTAGATTACTCACATAACTTAACACCAAAGTTATTCGCAACACACTTATCTAAAGCTTGGCTGATCTTGAAATGGTAGTAAAAAACTTTATCTCAGTAGCTTCATTTTTTATACTTTTTTCGGGCCATGTAACACATGAAAAATCATGCTATTCCATGTACAAAGCATTTACTTCATTACAATGACCTTAAAATGGAAAATACATTATTTAATTTCTTTTCTCGTCAAGCAATTATAATTATCAACTGTGCTTGTGGTTGTGTTTATGTGTGCAGAAGATGTTATGCATAGATTGAAGTTTATTATCTTTAATATTTCTACCACCTTGATTAATTTTTTTTTTTTATTTCTGTACCTTTGTGTCAACACAATAGAGACATCCTAACAGTGACAGGTAACAAAGAACATGGCTGCAAAAACTAAACTGGGACTTTTTCAAGAAAACGATTGACTAGAAGTGAAAAATTACTTAAATGGTTGACATTGATGGTGCGACAACGGATTGTTGATCTTATTTTCACTTTTTCCATTTCAGTTAGGAACAAATGAGACTTTTCCTGGATAATAAAATTTCAGAAAAAATTTTCATCAATTTCAATAATAAAATCACCCACAAATAAATAATAACAATATCATTGAACTAATTTAAAGACTCTGTTTTTACTCTTGATATCCAAGTAAAAGCACTTGCGTTATTCAAAATAGAACAATCTTACATCTTACTAAGTAGAAAATATATGTATCCAAGTATAAGCACTTACATTATCTGAAATAGTACAATCTTCCACCTTACTAAGTGTAAAATATAATTATGTAGATATATAAAATGTGCAATACCTATTGGATACATATGCTAAACAGTGCAATTTATTGAATGGGTCTGGAAATCTACTCTGCCATTTTTTAAATCTGAAAAGCTGTGTGGGGTTCATATCCATTTCACTAGGTATAAAAGAGAAATTGGCATTGGCAAAAATGTGGTTTATCTGATGCTCTAACCAAACTTGCATACTTTCCTTTCTTTGCCATCAATCGAGGCCTTCACAGTGCTTTGTGAAGTGTTTTTCATTAAGTGAAAACTAGAGAAGTTTATCAACAACAATAATTGCATGATTTTCCTTCAAATTCTTGAGCAAATTCAAAGTCTCGTTTAAATAAGATAACGATATCATTCCTCATTATATCTTGTCCAAAGGACTCACACCATTCTTCTCCTCATAAACAGGAGTGCTAGGCTCCTGCGCACTTTCACCACTCTCTGACTCAGTAGAATCATCATCGTCATCATCACACCTACACACACTTCCAGTGGAGTTCTTTGAGATTTGCCTGTGAAGATCTAAAGTACATGATGATGGGTTGTCATCACTAAAAGAGAAGCCCCTTGGGGCAAAGGCACTGCTTTCCGTAGGTTCAAACAGCTCTCCTGTATGCTCCACTGTGGATTCATGTGGCATCTGTAAAGTGAAATCATTCTCAGTCAATTAGAATCTTGCTGTACATAAAAGACGACATCAGAACAGTTCACAGAACATTTCCTAGAATGATTTGACCTAGCTGCCATTTCCCACTGCTTGATAGCAAAAAAATATTATTAACATAGTGCCCAATTATTATTTAATGACTTTGTTGTGAACAGCTTGAGAAAGAAAGAACTAACCGTAGCAAGAATGTAAGCCTTCAAAAACACTCAGTTTAGCAGTGTGATTGCTAAGTAAAAGCTAAGTTAAACTTGATCATTAAGGAAATTATAAAACTGGGATTTAAACGAGACAAAACATCTCACTTACAAGTTGTGGTGGAGCCCTAAAGAGATAGCTGAAGGGATAGTGCAGCAGGTTCACACAAGAGGCTGCATATAAATCAGCATAGCGTGTAGCTTGGCTGGCAAAGAAGGTCTGCCTGTTACCTAAAAGAGAATGCGGTACCATCAGTACATACATATGAAAAGCTGCTTAATGAAAAAAAAATTACTTGTTGTTGGAGATGAATTGCTACCTTACTCTTCAAAGTAGTTGGGACAAATTATAACGTTAAACCATCCCTGTTCTGAGCCTGGTTGTTTGAGGGCTGGATAATGCTATCCACTGAATAAATCTCTATCCAGTAGTTAGCACAGTTGGGACAAAGTATCATGTTAAACCATCTCTGTTCTGAGCCCAGTTCTTCAAAGGCTAGATAATGCTATCCACTGAATAAATCTCTATCCAGTAGTTAGTACAGTTGGGACAAAGTATCATGTTAAACCATCTCTGTTCTGAGCCCAGTTCTTCAAAGGCTAGATAATGCTATCCACTGAATAAATCTCTATCCAGTAGTTAGCACAGTTGGGACAAAGTATCATGTTAAACCATCTCTGTTCTGAGCCCAGTTCTTCAAAGGCTAGATAATGCTATCCAGTGAACAATTCTCTATCTATAGTTAGCACAACATGTTTTATTAACGCTCATCTGCTGGACAGCAATTTATTGGTTAGATAGTGCTATCCAACCTTCAAACGACTGAGGCCTGTTGTTAATAGGCTGCAAGCGGGCACTTTGGCACAAGTGTTTCTTTACCTGGAAGTTAGTTTAAAGCCCTGAGCAAAGTGAGCCTGCAAGAGGTCTGAAAGAGATCTGGCACCTTATTACCAGTGCCCAACAAGTTGCAGACCTGTTCCTGACTGGTGTTGCTTATCATAGCCTCAAACTTGATTGTGGGCAAAGAAACTTTTGCACTCAAGTGTTAATAACGAGGGCCTGCTAACAGACTATGCTTTTAGTAGTTGGTGCAGCTGGGAGGAAAGCACCCCCATTTAAATGTTACTAGGCTTTATCCCATTGAAAGGGGTGATTCTTTTCGAATTTTGACTGGGATAGGGTCTGGAAGGTAAAGAGATAAGACAGTACATGTAGTATGGCTCAGCATGTGCAATATTCATTTAAACAACTAACCAGCATAACAGTGGCTCAGCACAAAAATTTACATTGATGGAAAGAGCTCAAAGCTAGTACAAATGGAACGTTGGGTAAATTTTATCTGCAAAGACAATTGATTTTAAAGGAACTGAAGTACTGAAGGTGAATGAAGGGATCAGAAATATTTCTTTCAAAGTTTCACATTGTTTTTTATTTTGTATCATGCTTCAATGCTACAGAAGCAATTACACTGAGCTTTACGTGAGACATCAACCAAGTTAGGCATTAACACTATTATCTTGATTAAAAGAATGCTTTCAACTCTCTGTAACTAATTATCCAAAACACACAACTGGAATTTGATGTCATTGTAGATAAAGCGTTCATAACTTTGAAGTGGACAGCTGACTAGGAGTTCAGAGACTAAGATGCACATCACAAGTTACAATGAGTTATTTACATAATTCTGTTGTACTTTGGTCTTTGTTCTCTGTATTCAGCTTCAGTAAGAAACTTAGTCAGATCCTCTGTTTTTCCTTTTCCATGATGAGTTGGATAGGAATAATCCAGCAATTCTCCAAGAGATAATTTTGGAAACGTTTGGGACAGTTCTTCATCAGATTGTCTGGTGAACAGCCTAGGATTGATCTCAAGGCCAGTAGAATAAATGGGAGGATAGATATTAGCAGTGTGGTGATCTAAGCTGTAACCCTTTGGAAGATCATACTTATGCATGACAACAAACTCCTCTGACGAGGTGTTAGTGTCATGAAGCAAAAAACAAGGTAAATGCAGAAGCATTTTCAACGCTGATTCTTTGGCCATTCTTAGCTCTTCTGTGATAAACTCCAAGCGAGTATCGAGTTCTCGTTTTGGCATTAAAATCATCCTCCAACAACGATGCAACAAGTGGACATTCTTTGTTTCTCCTTCTTTTTGAGTACGAAGAATCCCTCTAAGATAATTCACCTTGTCATTTTCGTGGTCTTCAGTGAAAACAAGAACTGGTGGAGAACGTTCAATGAGCTTTCTTTTCTGTCTTGGTAACAAGCCTGATGGTTTTAAGTATTCAAGACGTTGAAGTAGCAATTCAGTTCTCAAGAACAATACGTTCGGTTGTTTGTAACGAACGTCTATCGCATCCAAGTCGTGGTAATTCGGCTTCAACGGTTCGAGGCCTGAAAGTGGTGTTTTTGACTTTTCAAAGCACTTGTACCTTTGCAGCTTCAACCTCTTCAGGATCACAACCTCTAGCTGGGATTTAGAGCTATACTGCCTGAAAAAACCATAACGGGAACTCGACAGGCGGCAAAGTTTAGCAACGTTTCCCCACATGTTACGCGCGGAATTCTCTAATTTCTATACCTGACTGTTTTAAGAGACTCAGAATAACCGTATCCGGTTTTATAAGCACAATCCCTCCCTATAACAATCAAGATTTGAGGAGAATCACGAACAAGTTCTCCTTGCCAGTAGCGAAAATGGCCGCCAAAGCATACTTTTAACTAATCTCTCCCGGACAACTTTTCTTGGCTGTCATGTAATAACCCATCAATTATCCCCAGGTTTCATCCAATAACTTGCGGAGCACCATAACATCTGTTGTAGTGGCAGAACATTATCTTATCGCTCATCTACATTTCATCATGCTTTTGATAGAACGTGTATATCTGCCCCTTGTGATTTTGTGATGAGCAATTACCATCGTATTTGCATTACTATCGCGAAACTTCAAAAATACAAAAGAACAGCTTTGCGATCTATACTTTTATCTCTGGTCGTGAAGATTTTTCCTCCAGACCAGATGTGTTGTCACTTCCATGAGCAGCTTCTTTTAGATTATTGGGAGCCGAAAAGTGATCAAAGAATTAACTTAGGATTTGACTTAGGATAGGCTGTACTGACTCTCTGGACGCTACAGTCTCGCCCATGTGGGGTGGGGAGGGGAAGGGACGCCACTTTCTCTATATTACAGTGTTTCCCTCCATTACAAGTAAGCGGATGACGCATTGCAAAAGAAAAATCTGTAGCCCGGAGTACATCACTAGAAGACGTCTGGATTGGATTCCGAGTTCAAGGCGACAACGATTTCTTCCATTTAGAGATAAGGGACTTTCACAAATACGAAGGAACGTCAATTCTTTTTTCAATGTGGATCCCTCAACATCATTTACCGGACCCTCATGTTCATGGTTTTGATCAAGAAAGTGTGCATTATTTGTTCTGTGTGTATTTTCCAGTATATTTTATGTAGTGCTGTAACAAGAAAGGTTCTTTGAAGTCAAGGGATACGAAAACACACTGCTGATAACTAGTACCTTATTGCAAAATTTAACAAAATAACCGATACTACAAGAGTAATTATGGTTGTATTAGCTGAGTTGATAATGTGAATTAGCCACCGTAAAGAGTTTCGAGGCTGACGTTTTAAGCGTTAGCCCTTAGTCATTGCGAAGAGCCCTGATTGGTCAAAAACCTACCGTTCACTGTGCATCGGTAAACCCATAGAAAATTGAAACATACTGTGTTTTACTTTAAGTTTGTTTAATTAAAGCAACAGACCACATTTACCAGTGGGTTATCGGGAGTAATAACCCATTTGTTCTCCCAACATCTCATGCGGGATTTTACGCCAGTAAACCGATAGAAAATGCGTCTGTTAGCTAAATAATTCATTTCCTAAACATATTAGTATGTCAACGTTTGTGAATATATGAATATCATATATGTGAACTGCGGTTAAAGAAATAAGTATGAGAACGATCTTCGCTGTAATGAACACTACTTAAGCAGTAGTGAAACAAGGCCTGAAAAAAGCTCAGGCCTGTACGGGATCCCGTACAAACCAGGCCTTGTTTCACTACTGGTTAAGTAGTGTTCATCAGTATGTGTTGGCCATTCAGTGTATGCGATTTAAGTTGGGCCTTCTAGCACCCATGAACAAATGTTAAATCATAGGGACTGACTCTATTGTTAAATACTGAAAGCTGATCAAACAAGAATTTATTGTTTTATAATTTTTTTTTTGCAAGAGAGGGGTTCTTGCTTTGCAGCAGTTAAGGCTTCTCTGTGTACGCTTCCGTGTAAAACAATCCGCTCGAGTATTACACTTATTCTAAATGGTCGAATACTCTGAAAATTTTGGAACATGGATAGATTTGGGTGATTGGTCAATTAACACTCATCTTTCCTCTTGAGCTGTGAGAATCGGAATATGTTTGGACTTACCGCTACGGAAAAGACTGCCCATCTGACCGTAACATGTCTCCATCATGTTAGTTACCTCCTGTTGAGTAAAAAAAGGACAACTCTCTTGTTAAAAGTAAAATAACTTCTGGAGAGCACTGCTTGCTTCTCATGTCTCTTTCTACTGAGAAGAACTAGGGAAGACATACCAAAGAATAGAACAAAAAAAAAGAACAAAAAAAGGTAAAAGGACATCTGAGGATGGAAAAATCTAAGGAGGATTGCAAATGAAAACATCGAAAACCCAAGACTAAGTTACTCAAGAGGTACAGAGTATAACAAAGCTCTGCTCAATATTAGGCCATCACGGTTTAATATGAAGCCTCCAACTACATTTCTGCTTTTTGTCATAAGCTCACTTACCTTTATGGAAGTTTTTATTTCTGTGATGTCTGGTTTGTCAATTGCGGCCGAGTCCAAATTCCTAAAATATTTTAACATTATTCACGTTGATAATGACTCCATTGAAAGTAAGAAACTCTCGTGTGTATTCAACTTAAAGGCATACTGAACTAATAACTATACTTGCAGCAATCAATCCATTTACAACGAGCCTGTCTTTACTTAATCACGTAAACTTACTTGTACGTATCAGCTAGTGCTATGTCAAGATCACGAAGCTTTGTGAAAACATCTGAAAAGGAATAACAAGAAACATGTTATTATCTAGTGCACCTGTAAGGAGAAACGGAAGCATTTCCTAGGCTTAAGTCTTCACGGTACTTGGGGACATGCCACACTGTCCTGCTAAAGTAAACGCTCTGATAAGTTTCCTGTCAAGAACATCAGGTTTCCAATAAGCCCCCTCCTCCTCCTCCTCTATGATAAGCCCCCCTCCTCCTTCGTTATGATAGGCCCCCCTCCTCCTCTATGATAAGCCTACCTTTTCTTCTATGATAAGCCCCCTTCTTCCACTATGATAAGCCTCCCTCCCTATGATAAGCCTCCCTTTTCTTCTATGATAAGCCCTCCTCCTCCTCTATGATAAGCCTCCCTTTTCTTCTATGATAAGCCTCCCTCTTCCACTATGATAAGCCTCCCTCCTCCTCTATGATGAGCCTCCCTATTCTTCTATGATAAGCCTCCCTCTTCCACTATGATAAGCCTTCCTCCTCCTCTATGATAAGCCTCTCTTTTCTTCTATGATAAGCCCTCCTCCTCCTCTATGATAAGCCTCCCTCTTCCACTATGATAAGCCTCCCTCCTCCTCTATGATAAGTCCCTCTCCCTAATAAGCTCCCTGCACCCCCTCCCCCCTAGTACAAAACTCTTATTTATTTGGCCTGGATGTTTTTCATCACCAAATATACATTTCCATGTAAGTGGAAGACTGGGTAAGTAAATCTAACAAACCTTGTCTCGATTGCCACACCTCCAGTTCTCGAGTCAGTTCTGGAATCACAAGGTATGTTCTGAAAGATCAGACAAGATAGATGAATAAATAGAGAGGACTGAGCGTTTCCCATTTGGTATCAAAGGCCTCAGTCATTGGCCACAGCTTGTACTGGTCTTAATTGTTTTCGTATATCACACCCTTACCTTAATCTATCGCTGACCCTAGTGGGATATTCTCATAATTTAACTTATATTGGGCTACTATCAATATACATACATCATTCATAATTTAAACATAGAGGCCTTGGGAGGGGGTCAGAAGAGAACAAAAACCTACCACTGAGAGTGGAGCTAATTTTTTATTCTGATAATTTTCCTTATATTTTAAATTCATAATTGTGTAACTTACATGTAGTCGTCTTTCCCTTTCTTCATTACAAAGTATTTTGTAAAAATTTAAGTCTTCTTTTCCTCCAGGTTGAACATATATCCAATTCCTCATATATCATAAACGTGTGGCACACTTGCACACAAACAATTAAAAATATGCTTATTTCCATTTTACCTCCATCCTTGCTTTTTCTTGGATTTGAGGATATCACCAAAAATGTGGTCCCCAATGTACAGTATGTCCTGGCAGGAGAGAAATTATTGTCATTAAAACATGACATAAATTGGAAAAAAATGCATAACACAGTCTTCTTACCTTTCCTTCAGCACCTAAAAGGTTACAAAACACATCTGAAGAACCTAAAAGAAGAAAACAGGTGGCAAACAAATTTATAGCCTGAGCTGTATCAATTGTTAAGGTAGAATGAGGTGTAGACCTCTTGTGAGATTTACAGTGAAGAGCTAATAGAAATAAATGCAATGTTGCCCTCTACAGGTAGTTTTTTACCTCCAGAGAATATTTGTCCCTCCTTTAGTTTACCAGAGTATCTCCCAATGCTAAGAGCTCCAGTCTCCTGGAAAAATAATTCCAAAGGAAAATACCAAAATTAAATACATACATACATACATACATATGTTAATTGACCACTCCCTCATAGGGCTTTTCAGTGCCATTCTTACAACACTGTGCCCCACCCATCCCACCCCAGGGGAGAAAATCAACCACACAGTAATCTCGTGGATTTATGAAGTAACCAGATCAATACAGGTTTTAAAATGGTTTCAAATAACATTAAATTTTTTTTAAGTTGAAAAGTCTACTGGGAAAAAAAAATAATGATAACAGTAATAATGATTACTGAACAGATTTTACTGCTAATAATGATAATAACAATAATGTCAATAACAATAAACATTTTTATGATAAATTGATCAATGTGACTGGGGCAAAGTCCTTACCGTGTCAACCCTTCTCAGTGCTGTACCTGAAAGGGGTAAAATTCATAAAAGAATGCTTGTGAAAATAAACATACATATTACAAAGAGAAGACAGTTGGTTGGAAGTAAATGGAGTTTGCATCATTGGGTGTATCCAAAAACAATGTTAAGGGTACCAGCGGCAGCAACACGTGCACACACTGCAAAGTAACAGTTGAAGGTGATGAAACAACACATCCTGTTAGTGATGGATGGGCCAAAAAGTGTGGCCTGTGCTGCACTTGTCAAATATAAAGGGAGTTCAGCATTGAATATTAAGTGAGAGGTACCGGTATGCACCCAGCCTATAGTCTAACTCTTTACTGATGATAGGGTGGATGAACAAGAAAAATCAGACTGCTTGTAAAGCAACTTAAGCAATGAAATGACCCACAGCATGGGTCTACCTATACTATTAATTTGCAACAAAATACTCTTGCTACCTTCTCCAAAGAAGAGTGGTTTTCTAGCATCTACACCAACATAATCAAAATAAGATGTCCACTTCTTGATTGTCTTTCCCGACTGAAATACAGGAAATGTTATATAAATGAGAACAAACAGAACACAGGCATTTCCTGAACTACAGGTTACTACTTTGAATTAAAAACAGTACATTTTTAAATAAGGAATACCTCATCAGTTTCATTCAACAAGAAGGACATGATTTTCTGCAAAGGACAAAAAAAAGAGTGTTTAGTTTAAACAGTTATCTTTCAAATGCTATTAGACAAAGCCAAAGGAAATAATGGACTATCTTTATTCATCATTTTATAGTATCCAAGGTAATATACACGTCAAATAAATTAACTTACATCTGTGTATAAGAAGTCACTGTTTGTAAGTATAAATGTTTTGCGGTTACTTTGCCTCATTCTGTTACATTAAAAAGAATTGAAGACAAACATACAAAAATTAGTAAACAACACTCCTTCGACGATTAATTTCTTCTCTACACTAACCTAAAGAAACTTTGTTTAAATAGGTTCAAAAAGTGAACATACCTAATTAGTAATTTTGGAAGTTTAGGCTGCAAGAAACAAAAACAAAACACATTATTAACATGCTTTTTTTTTTTAAACTAGAGGAATTAACAAAAATATGACAACCATGACACAAGAGTGGGCACCACCTCTACAAGCTTACAAATAGCAACTGCAGGGACACCTCTACACAGAAACAATTTTGAAAAAATACCCCCAAGCTGGGGATTGGAAAAACTGTAGAACACAATGATGCATAAAATTGGTCTGCGACTCTCAGCAGTGATATAACCTTGCCTTGACATACACTCCCATTGGGGTCGGATCATTAAATATATTTTTATTCATTGGGGATGTGAGGAGGGTGGAGAAGGGATTTAAGGTAATTTCTTATGCACGAGTTGTATTAATCTATACACAGACCTCAATAATACTGGTAATTTTTCAGATATCTTTTGTTATCACCCGTAGGTTTTTCAACTTATTATTCTGACTGTGGCTTTTTTGGTTAAAATTGCACTCTCAAAAGTTTAAGAATCTTTTCTGTTTGAACTTGAATATCAAGTAACTAAATGCAACAAAATTGTACCACTGATGGAATATTGAGTACTGACCTCTTTAATAACGTAAGTCTCGAGATTGTCTACAGTAATTTGCTTCAATGTGCCCTATGAAAATAAAAAGCCACTCCAAAATAGTATACTCATCTGGTAATAGTTGCCAGAGAGTGTCAAGATTAATCCCAACAGATTTTATAGAGAGAAACTTGTCAAAAGTTTTACAAGTAACCTTTTCTATGAGTCCTAAATGGAGTACAATGATAAAGTACAGAAAAATCCCAAAAGAATGTTTGTGAATTTGCAATACAGTACTGTAACAGTAAAATCATACAAGAATGTTTGCGAATTTGCAATATAGTACTGTAACAGTAAAATCATGCAAGAATGTTTGTGAATTTGCAATAGAAAGAAAGAATATTTCTCAACATTTAACAGCTCATGTCTTTTAAAATAGGTACATAAGATAAGAAGACAGCTGGTTGGAAGTAAATGGGGGTATATTGGGTGTACCCTCACTGAAACAACCCAAAATGTGGCAGTAACACATGCTTGTAAAAACTTGTCAAAAGTTTGACAAGTAACCTTTTCTATGAGTTCCAAATGCATGTCTCTAAGGCCTCTAAATGTGTGTCAGTTGTAACTTATGTGAACAATCATGCAGCATGTTACAATTACCTTTAAGTGCACCCAGTCTACTGCTGCTCTAATATCTTGATGAATGCTTTTGTAGGTCAAAAGCAACTGATCAGAGCTAGTTACACCATTATTTGTCCTGTTCAGGATTAAGGATTGGTCAAATGTATGAATTAAACCCAAGTTTATTATAGTCATGTATATGTAATTGATTGAACAACAATCCAGATAAAGAAATTAAACTAAACATTACAATAATATGACAAAAAAAATATTTTAAAAATTTAGCACTGCAATACACTAAGACTTGATGTATATGTAGTAGATACACTGATAAACTTGTTTGTTTGTTTACTGATCAAAATTAATTACTAAGTTAATCAAATACATAATTACTTTGTTTTTGTCTTACCTTTTAAAATCAGGACAGTTGTCAAAATAATCCACTAGACAGGCCAACAAATGTGTTTCTGTGTATCAATTACATGGGGAAAAGGAAATATTAATTATTGTCCACATACATGTAAAAAGTTTTTAGAACTTAACATCATACCTGTACTCATATATTGAGTTGTCAGTATCGCCAACTGAGTAACTTTGTAAATTAGGAAATTTGTTGTTGAAGGTTCTTAAACTAAAATCAGTGACAGCTAGTAGTAACACTTTATCATTCCATTTACCTGGCAAGTGGAATAATGTATTCAATATAAAATATCTTGAAGAGTCAGACTGTAAATAAAAGTAAGGTACTCTTTTTAATAATAAATTATCATAAAACTGAAATATTTACAGAGAGCACTTCAACAAGTACTGCTCTTATACATGCACACTGCTAAAACTATAATTTGTATCCCTTTAGCATCACTGAAGATATGCTCATATCCTGAGTGCTGTCAAATGCACATTTATCTCATGACTGCAACTCTCCAAGGAGGCATATCATTGTTTCTCCAGCCCTAAAATCAGATGATGATGAAACAGCATGATCACTTTGTTCTATTATCATTCTGAACTGAGCAACAACTTTCTTTGAGTAAGATAATTGTGCAGTTCTTTTAATGAATAGAGGTTTGAACAAAGTTATATGGGACTACAGAGGGCATAAGGGATAAGGAAAATACAACATGTTCAGTGTAACAAAATCATCCTGCAACTATATATCTTACTACTGATTAAAATTACACATTTTGTCAAAATTTTGAGAAAATATAAATTAAAAAATTAGTACAAAGTTGTAGTTATAATTACCTGGACAAACTTATTTGGGTACACTTTCCTCACTTCATAACTGTTAATACAAAAATAATTATTTTAAACAAAACAGAATTCTAAATCAGATACATAATTTTTCAGTACTGAGTAAACTGATCAGAAGGACAATGTACATTGTACCAACCAAAATATTATTACATGAATATTGGTTAAGCTTGAAATTAAAGGTTGTAAAGGGATGATTTAGTGTTAAAAAAAAATTACAAATGTTGAAAAGATAATGCCAACGTACCCACTTAAGAACCTAAAACCATGCACACAAACAAGAATGTTTCCATATGTGTCCACCTAAAAATCAACAAAAACTCATTTGGAATACCTTGAAACTGTTACAAGGATAAAGTCACATGATAGTTCATATGGTTGTAACAGTCTTTTAGTTACTGATTCCTTATAACCAAGTGGAAGTCATGCAAAGGCCTAACCATTACTAGGGGGTGGCAAAGGATTTATACCATATGTGTGATCAAGGGCAAAATTAATGTGATGCATGAATGTTACAAAAAGGCAAGTATGACTCAGGAAGTTATGAACCAGTGCAGGTTTGCCTCCTGAAATATATGTAACCCAAGATTTTTTTCTTTCATTTAGTGAAAACTTCAAGATTTCCCTAAAACCTCACATGCAAGAAGAGAAATTTCATTGAAGTTTTCTCTTTTAATGTATGATAAATATGTGACACTTAACTTTTTCTAAAATTTGTGAGTGGAATGGTATCAGGAACCCCCCCCCCCCTTGCTAACCTAAAGGCTTACTAACATTCAACAATTTTATATCATTTCTTCTGCACTGCAATATTTGTTGGACATGCATATCTAAGAGCTTTAAGTATACATTAGATAATATAAACTTTGCTTGCTCTTCAATATTTTTCTTGTTAAATGTCAGTTCTCCAAACATGTACCTTCAACAGATTTCCTAGTTCACAGTCAAAGAAGAGACCCCTAAAAGAGAAATGAGAGCACATTTTTAAATGTGTAGTGAAGGGGCAAAACTCTACCAGTAATTTTTGACTTTATCGTGAGACCTGCAATCAGTCTCTTTTGGAAATGAATGAGAATTTTAAGTAAATATGAACCATGGAGTGTCACTGTTGAATGCAAATCAAAATACATACCTAGCTGGGAATGATTCATCATATTCAAAGTTAAGTACATCCTGAAAAAAAATTTAAAATGTTACAGTAGTGATGATATTTTAGTCTACTATCATTAGATAGAATAGATAGATAGATAGATACTAAGATAGATAGATAGATTTTATTGAAACACAATACATAGCAGCCTAGGGCTGAACTACGTACCGTTGAAATACAAATAATAAAATTACTAAATATATAATATTATGCTATATAATAAAGTACTAATAAGTTCAAAAAGCCACCTACAAGATCTAAAATTAATTTACACCATATTTGTATTAAAACATGACTCAATAATAAAACTATTTCTTACACGTTTCGTGTTTATTTTAGGATTTGTCAAAATTGCATGTTTGTCGAAGCGAATATTTGCAAGCCTGATGTGAAGGTGGCAATAATGCCCGTAACCTATGATCTGAGTCGCTTAGGATGTCTTTGAAAAGTGTGGCACAAATATCACTGTGATGGATGCTAAGCGGTGCTATCTCCATGTGACTAAGAGCCTCATCGTAACTGAGGCCAGGGCACATGATTTTTAAAGCCCTCTTCAGGACTCGCTCTAGCTCATTAATGAAATACTTTGGGAGTGAATAATAATACACAGGGATCACATAATCTAAAACTGATCTTACACACGTGATGTAAAATAACCCTAAGTTATTGCAGGGAACCTTGGCCCATCAATTAAAACAATCAATTAAATAACATGCTGCATGTTAAAATAAGTCTTCCTTCAACATCCTATGCATAATGTGGTATCTTAAATGTTTGATAAGTTACATGTAGTTGAGGAAATTTATTTTGATATCCAGGTAACAACATCTAATTGATATGTTTGCCAAATAACATCTTGGCACCCCTTAGAGAAGTTCTATTTTTCATTTATTTTCAGCAGTTTTAAAGGTTAGTATGATTATTTGCTTTTACGTGAGCAGTATGCAAGTATATAAATTCTGTGGCTTTTGGCAAAGAAGCTTTAGAATCACAGATGCCTGTTCCTGATATTCTTTTGGAGGCAAGGGGGTTGCTCTACACAGGCTAGAATTTTAAAGAGCTGGAGGAGGGAGAAAAAGAAAAACATCTTGAAGGGACAAAGCAGTAGCAAACTATAACTGCTATTAACAATTTCAAAGGTTTCAAATGGTTATTATTATCAATCAGCAAAAGTTAAATAGTCTATCATTTATCAAAAACCAAAACTTACTAATGAATGAAATCAAAATACCTTTGGGTAACCAATGGAAGCTAACCTTTCACAGATTAAACGAAAGGCTTTCTTTTCATACACAGGAGATTTGTACACTGCAAGAAATTTGAATCAAAAGTTAATCCACATGTTTTATCACACATTACACTTGTCTGAGAGAATTGGCGTATCCACCTCAAAAGACATTTAAATGTCTTTACTTACTACTTAAAAGTAGTAAGTAAATCATTAGTCCTCTGAAAAATAGTTTTGTTATTACCTCGAAGTACGACAAACTGATCAAGTTATACCTGCTAGAGTATAGTCCATATCAAAGCCAAAGAATTTGATCTTATCCAGACTAAGACTTCTATTCACAAACACTCTGAAACAAAAAGAAGGGTCATTTCATTCCAAGCCAAAAGGTAAATAACTACTGGTAAGATTGGCAGCATGTAATAAGATTCAACAAGAGCAATAACAATACAACAATACTGCCCAGGAGTTAAAGACAATTAGTTGATTGTTCACTCAAACAAGGGTATTCCTTTAGGACTGCTGTTGTTGATATTGAATGATTTTTTTGATATGCTTTTAGGTAATTGTGTCAAAATGTCAATAACTGTTTCCAACCAGAATCCTTTTGAGGACTCCCCTTATTAGCCTTAATAGTAGCTAATGGGGATGTGTCCCTGGATGGGGTCACATTCTTGTGACTGTATTGACTATAATAGGGTTGCATATTCATTAGAGTTACCAGAATGGGGTGGCATATTTTTGGAATTTTGGGGGGTTAGAAAAGTCTAGTGAGTGGGGATTTAACAATACAAAGACCAACAGTGAAAAATTTGTTACTCTATTTCATGCTGTTGTAAATGTAGATGCATAATCAGAAAGTGACCACAATGGAATTGTATAAATTAGATTTGCCCATAAGCAACTAAGATGGGGCCTATAACTGGGTACATAATAGACTAAATAATTTGGATATATCAACAAAGTTGAAATGGTAAATTGGCCACGGTAATGATTACAAAAGCTGACGTTTCGAGCGTTAGCCCTTCGTCGGAGCGAATGACAAAGGGCTAATGCTCAACGAAGGGCTAACGCTCAAAATGTCAGCTTTTGTAATCATTATGGTGGCCAATTTACCATTTCAACTTTGTTGATATATCCAAATTATTTCGTTACTCCCACCGACGCAGCCCCAAACAGTTTCTTTCGAAACTATCAGCCTTTATACATAATAGACCATAATGGGGTAATGGTCCTGAGAAGCCAGTGGCATAAAGCCAGCAGAAATTGACCCAAGTACCCCCTCCCACCCAGGACTACCCTTCCCTGGACAAATTGTATGACCCTTAATGACTCACAGTGACATTAATACTGGAGTAAAAACTTCTGTACATACAACTACCTGTTTGCAGTGTCTCTCTTGAATGCCTTTGAACCATCAGGAGTGTCCATCCCAATAGAGTTTTGGTCAAATGGGTGGGAGGGGTAAGGCATCTTCAATTCCAAGGGGTCTTTGGGAGTACTCTTGACCCAGCCTTCCTATATTGGGATACACTTATCAGTCACAAAACAAATGATATTGGGAGAAAATCTAGACATGTTCATTAGCATTAGGGACCTAACATAATTTACAGGGAGAGGAGGGGGGGGGGGCTGGTGGAAATGAGAAATAAACTTCTCAAAAACTTGAAGTCCCCCCTTTATTGGGGACACACTTTTTATTGGTTCCCCCCCACCCCATAATTCTTTAAATTAATTTTTTGGCACTCAAAAAATGATCTAAGATACTATACCAAAACATTTTATGTAAACCAAAATGAAATGTTATGAAGAATACCATCCTACCTTTTTTAAAAGTGATGCACAAGGAGATATAAGTGACAGAGGGGAAAGCAGGGAATCTGAGGATGAAATACTTTAAGGACTTTCAATTGTAAACTGTTTGTTTAGATTGAGATTGAGTCTTTTGTTTATCAGAGTCTCCAATTAAAACATAAAAAGTCAATTTTGCTGGTATTGATATTGCAGAATTTTATTTGGTCCCCCCTTTTTATGTGCACACAAATTTTTGGTCCCCCCCCCCTTTAAATAACGTTAGGTCCCTTACCACCTTCACTTCCCGTAATTTGCCTGATTTAAGATTTTATACAATTTTCTTTACCAACATTTAATTACTCTGATGGTCTGTGTATTCAATTCATAAACTTTTGACTTCCTTAGCAAGACTTGTATTCAATCTTTAACTCCTGAGATCTGATTGTTATTTTCCCCCTCCAGCTTCTACACATTTCCTTGTAATTTAGTCAATAGAATTTGGTTTTATATCAAGATAACAATTTCTACCTGATAAGTTTGAGTATTCTCATTACTTGTCTGCTGGATAGCATATGTATATTATAAGGAGAAGTTACATCTTTAAAATTTCACTTCTGGGAGTTAAAGGGTCAAGAACTCCATATTTAATCAAAGTACATGTAAAAAGAAATAAGAGAAAAACATCCACAGATGTGATAGACAAGATATGAAACTTGGAAAAAAAACTCTGGTACAAAGAGTGTACAAAACACATGCAGCTCACTCAAATGTTTCATGTATAACAAATTTACTCAATGTCATGTTAAACACATTAAGAGTCACAAAGTTTTTCTGGCCAATGTTGATGGATGCCTCACGAACATTTTTCATCATAGTATACTTGTGTCACAAAAAGTGATGTTGACATGTATCACCTTGACTGTACTATATATTTTGAAAGTAGGTTTATCTTTGTTTTCGCTGTGACCCAAGATGAATGTATCATCAAGGTAGAAATATCACAGTCAAAACAATATTCCACTTGGATGAATAATCTGCTGAAGTGCAAGAGTCATCTAACATGATGGCGACAGATATACTGTAGTTAACTTTTCATTTTAGTCTCCAAATATTGATACAATGACCATCTCAAGATAGAATAAAAAAAGTTAATGAGAGCAACAAGCCCATCACTTCACTTAAAATTTTGGGAAATACATATTACATTCACAGATGACGGATTTATGTCTTCCACATGAATTTTTGAAAGTGAATAAGTTGCTGCGATGATATTGAGGGGCCCTACAAGTTTGACTATGCAGCATGTCGGGATTTCAGCGTAGAGAACTGTTGGATAATAAAGTGTCATTCCAAGATTAACTCTAGTGCAAACTTGTGTCCACAATACATGTAAGCACTGATCGTTGAAGTTTATATATTGAGTAAATATTATACGCTTCATCGGTCTTCCAGTGTTGGGAATTGATCATTAGAATGGTATGCAAGCAAAACTCTACAAATTATTAATCAGCACTGTGGAAAAATCAGACGTGTAAAAATTGTCAATAATCCTAAAATTTTAACAATAAATTTCCTCCTTAACCCTGAAATTTCATGTGTAGCATATTCACACTTTAGCTTGAAGTTTCGACATAACAATGGTTCACGGGATGACCATAAAATTATGCAATTCCTATCACGAATTACATCTACATCATCAAACAACGATTTCTTTCATATCTAAATGCTTAATTAGAGACTCTTTACAAGAGCAATATGAGTTAACTTGGGCGAGTTTCATCTCGAAATAAGAGCCACAGTCTCGGTAAGGGTATAATTATACTAAATGATCAGTTTCAACAATTTGCCCCAGTTTGAATAAAAAAAAAAAACACGATAACCTTCAGTAATATATGCACCTATCGATAGGTTATGGGCTTTCAGTAAGACTAATTAATACACGACTGCTGAAATATGAAAATGTTTCCTACAAATAAAAGCCAACGAATTCATTCAGCTGGTAAGCAATTTCTTTGTCACGTCATCGCGAAGAAAGGAACCGGGTGAAGAAAAACCTTACCTTTGGTACCATTAAATATTCAACTTCGTTTGAAGTCAGTTTCTTCTCTGTATCCATTGCACCTTTTCCAAACGTTTTACAGGCTTCGTTTTTCAAATACTTGAAATTTAGTCGATTAAATTTTGAAACTCTCGGAGAACAAAGGCACAAAGAGGTGTCTTCAAACAAACTCGCTGGCTCACCGACAAATATCCCACGGCTAACCAAAACAAGAATGTGATTGGTCAAAACTAACAATAGAAATGTGGTGTTTCATGTTGTTTTCGACCTCACGCAACTTCTCGTTTCACTCATGTGACCCGCGTTACATTACACTCAAATATGTCGAAAATTCCGCTCATTTCTGACAATTTCCAACGACGTTCCCTTAATATCCAAACAGAAAATAATGGGCATACAATCTGAACAATGATCTTGTCGGTTTGAATCTCTTTTAATTCAATGACGAGAGCTAATAATATGTGCAAGCACGCGCTGAAAGACACTAGCTTCATTCGAGAGCGCTAGCACGGTTCACTTTTCCCCTGATATATACAAGACATACCTGACCATTCGACCTATAGACCTTCACTGATGTTCGTTACATGGTATCTTACCTTCGATTCTTTCTAAACGACGGAAATCCGCTTGCACAAGTCCAAAATCACAGCTCACAGGATCCTCCTTGGCTGCAATACTCAGACCATAGATCTACAACGCTTGAAAGAGAACTAAAGGAAATGTAATTTGATTGGTCAAACTTTTTTCCAGAATGTGACCTATCACAGGGAGCTCTTTCACACAGGACACCAAGGGCAAGGTCAGTAAAGAAACTGGTGGATTTGAGCAAATCTTTTTAAAATTATTTTACGGAAAACGCATTTCAGGCAAAGTGCTCCGCTATCGTCGACGAATCATGGCACTTTGCTTGATTGCACCTCCCTATTCCCACAAATGGTTTGTAATATTTAAAGGCTAGATCACACTGCGAGAAGTTAATTGTGCTGTGTGATATCTTTTTTTCTCATTTTGTTTGTTTTGCTTGGTTGAGTCTTTTTCTACAAGTTTTTGAATCTTAGCATAATGAACACTTGTTTCCAGAGCTACGCTATCTTCTTAGTCGGCGTAGCCTGGGCACCAAATTTAGGTTAAATGAAACGCGGGTAGATGGCGTTCGATGTTTTAAAGAGCTGTCAAACACTTCCTGCTTCTCATTGACGTTAGGAACAAGGTAATTTGCTAACTTGTGGTATCTTGTATTTGCTAGGTTATTCATGCAACCGACTGTGTACTTCTAAATTTAGTAATTCAGTGGACAGGTTTAACTGATAAAAAAAAACATCAGTGTTGTTTTTCGGTGGTTCATCGCTCGCTTTACAATCATTTTGGATTTAACTGCGATGCACGGTCTCGGAAAAGAAACTATGATTATTTTTGTGCAAACAGAAATATATTTTCAAGTAGTAGCATTTTTCGCTTCTAAGAGTGAAGTAGTGAGCAATATTCTGCAAAAGTAATTTGGAGGATCAGAGATGAGGAAGTTTCTTTTCCGAGAATTACAAAATTAGTAAATTCACTTCAGAATGGCAGGGCCAGGCTTCTTAACAGTTTGAACGTTATTACATTTCCTGTTTAATAACTTCATGTTTCGCTTATTTTTTGTCGAAACCTTCAGAGTGCAGACTTACAAATTTCAACTATCCTGAGTTAGATAAGAGTTTCCTGTTCCTCGAACGGCTTTTATATCTCCCAAGTAGAGGTCAGTTGAAATTTATCTATAGGGGAGGAGAAAGAAGAAAATTATATTTCCACGTTTTTTTTTTGGATCGGAATAGTTGTTTTTTTTTTTGTTGTGGAAATTTTTGTTTTTTCCAGCCACTCACTCTGGCCTAAAGAAACCTGTAATTGAGTAAACAAAGGTGAAAGAATGACTGTTTAACTGATTCATAAGCAAGCAATTGATACTTGCAGATTTGTAAGCAATGCCATATCATCTTAATAGGACTTAAAACCCAAAGTTTAAAGCTTTTCAAGCTTTCGTTTAATGTATGAGCACATAGAGGTAAATATAGAGGAACACATTTACAAAAATTTTCATGTACAGCTACAATTATTTAAACCTGTCCAATTTCTATGATATACACGATAACATTAATAGTGCACCAAATGATATTGTATTAAGATACTTTTGATCAGTCAAGAGTGATAAAGATTACAACAAAATGATTACTGATTAATAGCAATATTGATAGTTTAATCGATAATCTCCTTATTTTACGGTAGACAGTGATGTATAGGTAATTTTTATCAAAAATTTAAATTTGTGGGTGGGGATTTACTACCTGAAAATAAAATCTGTTTATTTGGCTTCCCTGTTTAAGGTACATGTATTATTGAGGAAACTACAAAATGTGAATATTCATTTGGCATGTCAAAGAGTAACTATTGACATCAAGAAAATTTGAGATATTTGAATAGGTCAATACTTAACAAGAATGAATGACTAGCTTGATGATCTAGAATCTAGAAGGGTACACATGTTAACTTTCGAATGCTCTCTCAAAAGTTAATTATTTTCCACAAACTTTGACCTTAAATCTTTCCTGTAACATATTTTGAAAGGTGACAAAGTTAGATCAAATTGAGCAATAATCATATGAATAACGTCAGGGTCACCAGGGCTCAACACTAACAGTAGCCCCCCAGCCACAGACTAGTAGAAATTCAGTTTTGGCTGGTGGTTTTCAATTTCCATTAGCCAGTTTGGCAAATAAACAAACTGAAATTGTTGTACCATCTAAAAACACCTAAGATGTCACTAGCCACTTGGCTAGTAAGTTGAAAAAACTAGTGTTGAGCCCTGGTCACTTTTTTATTTGGTTTCATTTTGGACTCTATTTTGACGTAAGATATTTACAAAAATTTACTCATACTGTTAGACACAGTTAAATTTGTAAAGTGTTTCTACAGCATTCACTAAATATTTAAGACTGACTGAGAGATGTACATCAAAGGTCTTTACAAAGGAGAGACAAACTTTATCCAGTCCTAATACTCTGATGCTAAATGAGTCTATAATTAACAATTATTCGCCGAAGAGGAGGTGCATATTGTTGAATAATCCCCGAGACGAAGTCGAGGGGATTATTCGACAATATTCACCGAACCTGAGGCGAATAATTGTTTTAGTATAATTTCAGAGCTGAACAACAGAGAAATTTCTAAAATCATAACATTTTAGTAACATTTATTAACTTTTTACTTTAACATTTTATATAAACCGCGTGGAGTGGTTTATATAGCGTCTTATATTAGGAACCGCTCGACCAATCAGATTGCTGGAAACTCTTTGCTCAGCTCTGAAATTATACCAATTATACGTAAGTATTGGATGGATGAGGGATGATGTCTTCTACACTTACATTAAATCCCTAAATAAATAATAGTATCTGTCTTAGCTTCCAATACTTTAAATAACATAATTGCAATCACATTATCTTTCTTTAATCCTATTTAGAGTATCTAACTAAAGTATACTTCACAATCAATTTTGTTCAACTTAGTTTACTTTACTAAGGGTTATCCGGCATGAGATTAGTAAGAGGCTGTATCTGTATTAAAATCTGTCAACCTCTTGTGTAACAGGTAAACTTGAGAATTATAGAAAGATTTTTACAGGGAAAACTATGTAAGCTAACTTGACTGTAGAATTTGTACACTTGACTGAAATTTTGTCAACATTTGACAATGCTAACTAAAAGTTTTTGTTCTACTGAGAGACATGTCGAATGTGTATGGTAATTATTATGCTGTATACTTTCTGAAGAGATATATCATTTTATCGTACAAAGCACCTTGTGTTCTTGATTGTCTAGGAAAAATATTCACACCCAAGTGTAATCCATGTGGTTCTGCACATTTCTGTCATTTGAATTTTACTGAATTTGTACCCCTCATAAGGGAAAGTTTTGGGTTAGACTGTACCCTCTTCACTTGCCAAAGGTTACAGATAGGTCTCATTTATTTCTAATTTATCGCAGTTTACTGGCATGAATTCTGCTTCCATGTGTGCCATTAAATCAGGCATTATGGATTCTCTAGAGCAGCCAGATATTTATCTCCAATGAGATCCTAACTGGGTTGTAATCATTTCAGGGAGGGGAGTAGTGGTCAGTGAAGATTTGGGTCAGAAATAGGGATATCTTTTCCTTGACCTCCTGTAGTTGTCAGATTTTCATATTTGATATTTGCTTCAGCTGTTTGATCAGATTCCATGTCAACTTCTGCCAGACAATCAACTGACTTTGCCAAGACCTCAATGTACTCCTAAAAGTTCCAAGGTTACAATGCATCATCAGAACATTTTTTTTTTTATCATTTTAAGTTAAAATTACAATAGGGTGCAGTTTTTATTACTTCAAGGATACTTTTTCCTGCTGGAGTGACAGTGGTATTCTCTTGATTAAATTTTGCCCTTGTTTAAGTGTTTTCTGACTAAGCATGGCATGCAAGAACAAAAATATTAAGAAGTGCCATATCTGGGTTTGGGAATAGAACCAAAACACAGGTGAAGAACAATTTTGTCATAATCGTTGATTATCAAAGTTTCTTTATTTCCATTTGTTTCATAACCACTATAATTATTCTTTACATATCCATCACCAAAAAAAAATTAAACTAAAACATATATTCATATTAAATACCTGAGATGACTCAGATGAGAGAAGTTCATCAAGCTGTTCAGTGAGCTCAAAGAATTCAGGACGGCTTTTAGCACTTTCACTCCAACATTTTACCATTATTTTATAACTAAAGGAGAAGATAAAAGTTCATCATCAACAAAATTTCAAAGAATGCCATCAGTGCAAGACAATATTGAAATCAAGACATCATAATTATCATGACCCATTGTTACAAAATCTCTGTCTTGTGACAAAATGGGCACCTCTCCAGGGTGGACCCATTATAAGTCCAGTTCATGAAGAGTATGACTGTGAAGCCAAAACTTTGAATAGGTAAACTAACTGCTTACTTTATAGAAAAAGTACTACAAAATGGAGGTTGTCTGGATTATTCCAAACATTCTGTAACAAGCTGTAGAAACGGTATCACTTGATGATGTGAAATATTAGTGCTTATAACTTGATAGTTCAAATAGAATGCTGGCAGAATTTTTTCATCTCTAAATAGGTACTATCATACTCACATATTATCAGGACAGTTAATTGGACATTCCATGCGATATCCATTTTTAAGTATTGTAAACAACCTTTCAACAGGAATTCCAGGATAAGGCGTACCACCTATACAAAACAGAGTAAAGAGTTAAATTCAAAACAGACAAAAACAGAATTAAGAATCAAAATAGGGTTAATATTAAAAGAAAATTCTTAGATACATTGTGCTTAACAGGGATGCTGAAATACTGGCTGAAGTTCATAGGGGGTTGCATAATGTTCTTAATATGTATTTGCTGCACAGTGAGTGTAGGGAGTGAGCAGCAACTTAATCAGGATTTAAGAAAATTATAGGGGGTGAGCAATATAATGAGGATTAAGAAAAATATAGGGGGTGCAAATTCTTGAATTCATCACTTTTTACCAGAATGCATTGCATAAATTTAAGCAGAGTGCACTGCACCATGATTGTTCTGTTTAGTGTGTTGCGTTACACAGCATTACTAATGTAAGGACATTTCTTATATGTACTCAATGGTGTTGTAAATCTTCTTTCCTAAGTAAAGGCAAATTAACTAATCACAAGTGTTGTATGATAAATCTACTAATCTTGATCACTGAATGAAGGACAGTTGAATTAGAGCGATGAAAGGAGTCACTTAATCAAAGAATAACTCTACCTTGTGTAGGTTAACATGCTGCTAAGTAGGAAAGCAAAGGGCAGTTGAGCAATGGTGTTCATAGAGCCCGTGTGCCTCCTACCATTTGCTAGCGCTTTGAAATCTTCTGCCCTCAAAGTGAAGCTTTCATTATCATATCGCTTAATGGCTTTCCTTTGTGATGTTATAATAAGGGTTAGTTTTAAGATGTCAATTCCCCATCTGAATGTTGTTGAGGTTTGGCAAAGCTGGTTGAGATGGTGTTACAAAAGGCAATATTTTTCTTCTATGTGCACGCTATTTTCTCTGTTTTTAAGTATACTTTGTCTCCTGCAGAAAATAACTTCAGAGATATGTTTCTCAATGTAAGTCTTGAAACAGGCAGGAAGATGAATCACTCTATGTAAATTATTTTGCTATCAACAGAAGGTTCCACAGCATTACTATCTTTTAGATATGCTAGTTTATACCTACCAAGGGTGAATATCTCCCACAGAAGGATTCCAAATGACCAACTGAAGTAAAAAATAGCAACACAAATCAATCAGAGTGCATGGTTTAAGGACTAGGCGCCTCTGCTACCATCAATAAAATGGGTACATTTGATATATGTTAAATTTGATAGTTGAATTGAAACTAAATGAAAAAAAATTCATGTCTTGAATGATTGTCAAATAAATTAAAAGGGAAAAAACTTTATAATTTAAAAAATTTATTAATGAAAAAATAATATAAATATATTGGGCCAAGTATCTTACACATCAGTCTTGACTGTATACTGTTGGTCAAACAGGGCCTCTAATGCCAGCCATTTTACTGGAAGACGTCCCTGAAATAGACATGAATGAAATTGTGTTTTTGATAGTTTCCCATAACCGATTTAAAATCATAACTACATTAAACCATAATTGCATATTAAATTCTAATTATGCATGATGAAAAAAAAGAAATGTTTACTAAATGTTAATCAAAGTTAAGTGTAGGTTCTAATATATTATACAGTCTCAAACTGGAATTTTGTAACTCATGTCAGTCCTGTGATAGCAAAGTGTTTAGCACACAATTATGCAATTTGCCATACACTAGAGCTTTTTTAAATAGTATGAGTCTTGTGTAATTTCTTATCACCTTAAATAACTTATTCAAAGCATGGGCAGACTATTGCTTCTATTTTTTCTAAGTATTCTTTGGAAAACATAATGACACTTACATGAGTTGTTCTCCTGTAATAATCTGTGTTACCCAGATTTCTAGACAATCCAAAGTCTGCTATTTTAATTACAAAGTCTTCAGCAATTAAAACATTCCTTGCTGCTAGGTCCCTGTGTATGCACTACATTGCAGTTTAAAGGAAGCAAATACCAAAAAAATTGTCATTAATATTTCCTGGCATCACCTATCAAAACTCAGAAGTGTTAATTTTCTGTACTGAGTTTTAACAATATGTTTTTGTAGTATTAATCATGACTTTTTGGTTGTGGCTGTGTATCTAATGAATATGATGTTTCACAGATACCTCAAAACACTAGGGAAAAAACAATTTATTTTACAAAGGTTTCAGGATAGAATGGATCCAAATTAGCTTAAGGTGAACAAGTCTGAGAAGCCTAACAGTTTAATCTAAGGTGTTCTCTCCTTGTTTGGAAGCTTGTTCAACAAAACCTAATCATTTTACTTACTTTACTGCTGATGTACTTTTATTATAGGCTGCTATCTATTTATATGACCATTATGGTGTCCAACTAGAAAGCTTTTGCTACTTTGCATGGACACCATGCACCTCTCAAACTTATCTTTATGGCCAAATATTACTTTTGTTCTTCTCTCTCTCTCTCCTATTTTTCATATAAATATTAACTTCCATTAATAGTGTGAAATAAATAAAAGTTCAAAGTAGTGATTGTTGAAATCAACTGTTGTGAACAATATCTTCTGTGCAAGTGAAAATATTATGACACAAATTGTGTAACAGTCAACAATCCTAGACACAAGGGGTTTCAAAACAAGCTAATCAATCAATTTTTAACAACCAGTTACCTTTTTTGAAGATAAGTAACTCATTCCTCTGGCAATTTGGTATGCAATCGATAACAAATCCCTAAGTGTTAACTGAGCTGCAGTCTTCTCGTTGACTTTAATTAGAGAGGGTCGATTATCACGAAGGAAGTCACGTAGGTTTCCATGTGGGCAATACTCAACAATGAGATATAGGGGACCTAAAAGAATGAAATCTCAAATCAGCTACAACTTTTTACAATCAGGAAATGATCATTGAGGACAGTTTTAAATTAATATGTTTTATTGGTATGCATGAAAGTTTAAAGAGTTGATTTAAGCATTTTCCTTCCTGATTTCACTACTCTTGTTTTCACCACAGTTCCATTTTCTCAATAAACTTTGACATGTAGCTATGTAGTCAGACAGAATTGTAATAGCTGCAGTGTTTGCAATACTATTTTGATAAAGTTGAAGCTTGCATTAAATATTGTGATTTTGAAGACTTGAGCTTGTTTTCCAAATTCATTTTGATTTAGATTTTTGATTTTCTTCTTTCTTGAACTGTAGTTACCATTACCTTGTACAGTACAGGCTCCAAGAAAGTTCACTATGTTCTTATGACTTCCTATTTCCTTCATAGTTTGCATTTCAGAGATCAGATCAGACAATTCAGCATCAGTGGCATCTTCTATGAAGCAGAAAGAAATACAAACAATTTGTACGATTTGACCACAACTTAGTCAAAAGATTATTTTCAAAGCTCATTTGAGGTCATCCAGAAAAGGTTTCGATTAGTTTCCTTTTGTTTTCTTGGCAAACTTTGATTTTTAAACAGTAGTGAATGAACCATCTGTTCATGTAGTCATGCAAAATTCAGTAAATCTGCAATGTTTTCTGATAATCCATTATGAATATAAAGACTGACTACCAACCTTTCAGCATCTTTACAGCAACAGTACAAGGTGTAGGAGTATTTGGCAATTGAAAAGCTTCTGCCTTTGCGACATAACCAAATGCACCCTCCCCAGCTAGATCCTTTATAAAAAGCATTTCTCTAGGTACCTCCCATTTTTCATCCAATGGATAATCAAATAAATCTGAAATACAGAACCATCAAAAGGTGTGGTTGAAATAATTAAGGTTTAAATACTTTTCTAGATTACAGTAAAAGAATAATGACAAGTATGGAAGAACTTCTTGTTAGGATGAAGGCGACCAATATTCATTGCATCAGTGTGAAGGAGTGACCTTAAATGTTGTTCTGGTTGACCACCTTGGAGTTACTTCTGCCCCAACCCCTGTTCTTCATGTCTCTACAGCTCAGACATTGTAATGAGTGCATGTCGTCTGCCTGTGGGACTCATGACATTTGGTTCAAAGGATGCTGTTTACATGAGGGGTAGCTCATTAGGAATGATTGAGCTCGATTAAGATTCCTTCAGGAGCACTCCTACTAGGGATCGATGCACCAGAGAAGACTCAACCAAATCACCTTATTCTAAAAAATTGGCATACCATCTGCATATGTTACCACAGTTCCTCCAGATGCTGATGATGATAGCTGGGATCTGTAACTACTGTGTCTCTTGTGTATCAAGGGTAAAAGTGAGTGTCTTTGTGTGGATGCTACTAAGTGCCCATTCTGAAAGTTAACTGACAAGGGAGGTGTACCATCAATCCCTTCTTCTGGTAAGTTAGGTTCCTGGAGGATTATTGGCAATCCTTGATTTTTCTTTTCTTTCTGTTTCCATTTAAAGAAAAAGACGGCTATAGCCAACAGAATAACACCCATAAATGCTCCTATGCAACCCACAATTACTCTTATTTGCCGAGATGCCATGCTTTGACTTGTAGACTGTGTTGTAAGTGCCCTGGAATCAACAGTTTTTGGTGTGCTGGAAGTGGAAGTATGAACTGTGGGAAACAATGAAATAAAGAAAGGTGCTTACTTTGTGTCAACACTAAACAATAATTATTATTGCAATTTAAGATAATTAAATATAACAAACATCCTTAAAATCCGATTCTTTTTCCATAAGGGTACACCTTTGCAGACTAGTAATGCAATCAAAGACTAAAGTATGAAATGTATAAATTATGTCAATTATTAATTTAAAGAGGTTTTTTTGGAAACTTTCATGTCCCTATAAGCAAACATTGTGGTATTCTCTCTCTCTCTCTCTCTCTCTCTCTCTTTTTGTAGGGATGAACCTCTCTCTCTCTCTTTTTGTAGGGATGAACCTCCATTGCTTTTAGGATGGAAGGAAGAGTTGGAGCTAGTACCCTTGTGCTTTTAGGTTTCGGCCAACCATTTGTATTCAGAAAAGGATATAATCCTTGGATTAAAGGAAATGTGTATTCTATACCATTATAGATAGAAAGATACTTTATTATAAACACCTTGCAGCCATGGGCTGAATTACGGAATATTTACAAGTACAGATGATAAAAAGGACGTGTAAAATATTACAACTTCGTCGTTAAGAAAGAAGGAAAATTATCTACATCTTATAAATATGGCTAAAAATAAAACTATTCTTCAAGCGCTCGGTTTTGCATATGGGGAGAGTGAAATCAGTTTTGCGCCTCAGTGCGTATCTACAACTCTTCCTTTGGGGGAGGAGGCTGTGGAGTCTATAGGTGGGGTTACGGACTATCTCGTCAAACAGGTTGGTTGAGATTTTTTCCCTCCTCTCGTGAAGTTTCAGTAGGCCAGCCGTTTCTAGTGCTACACAATATGACAGGTTAGGATAGATGATTCTGAGTGCCCTTCTTTGGATCCGTTCCAAATCTTCACTGATGTAGTTTGGTAGAGAACGGTGGAATACAGGACTTGCGTATTCCAAGACGGGCCTAATACATGTCACATAGAATTGCACAAGTTCGCTTGGTGCAACTCCGGATCTCTTGAGTTGTCTCAAAAAGTAGAGACGAGAGGAACATTTTCTACTTAGTTCAGAGGTGTGCATGTTCCACTTTAAATCGTGGCTAATGGTCACGCCTAGCAATTTGGCACTGGTGACTAGTTCAAGGGGTTTGCCATTTATGACTAGGGGTTCAAAATCGTGGTTGCTGTTATAATTTTAAAAACAACTCAACCAACCTGGGTCCAATGTTGTGTTGAGACTAAGTGAGGCACTTTGGTAAACTCTTCCATAGGAGTTGCATACAACACAAGAATACAATCCCACATCAAATTCTGTGACATTGTCAATGGTTAGGTATGAAACATGTAAGTTTTCCTTGGTGTCAGGTGTGATGGTGTATTTTGAGTTTGAAATAATGCTTGTGAAATTTCCAAAATCAACATCAAGGTTATCTGCAGATGGTGTGTTGGTCCATTTTATCCAGTCGAAGTGGGGAACAGTTGTTAAACTTGCTTCATTGTTTGTTTGTAAGCATGTAAATTTTGCCAGACCATTGACTCTGATGCTGATGTTAAGTAGCTCCTTTTTTGATATGCTTGGTACAAGCCTGCTAAACGTACCTATAAGGGAAAAAGATTGGTGCCAACATGAGATGCTTGTAGAAGTGGCCAAAGAAAATTGATACCATTGTTTTGTTTGAAGCATTCAAAGGCAATTTCTACTTATCTCCCTAGATGGATTGCCTGTCCATCCCCAGTTAACTCTTTTACTCCCAGTAGTAACCAAAACATAATCTCTCTTAACATTATCATGAATATAATATGATTTTTGCTATTGCATAAATAGCGCTCTCTACTGCGAGGATCATGCATCATATGTATCTATAATACCGCAGTTCAAAATATATGAACTTCATATAATCATTGTATCTAATACGATATAGAGCAGACAAGTGACAAGAGTAAGGAAAAACATCAACATTGGGATTCTTGGATGATCTAATATCAAATTCTTCAAACTGACATCATGTGAATTATATGGCAGAGAGTAAGGAGAATTAATGGCAAGATCTTGAGAGTGAAAGAGTTAACCTCAAGGCTTTCTTCAGGTTTGCCTGACAGTATGCTGTTATTACCAATTTAAACTCCTGTGCCAAGAGTGGCACAGTGAGAGTGATGTGTCTTGTCAGGGCTTAAATTTGGATTTTTTTTTTATCCAGAGTCAAGCACACCAACCATTTTGCTTTGGTGTCTCCAACTGAGTTGACAAAAAAAGTTAAATTTTGTTTTACTAGATCTCCTTGAATAAGCATGCACATGCTATTGAGTGCTCTTCTTGAATAGAGACCTGTGCCCAGGGCCATAATTCCATGCACACACCCCTCTCCTCCCTCACTTTTTCAAACAGTAAGGATACAAGGAAAACCCATTTCTATTGCCACTTTATTTACAACTTCTTATGTGTCAACTACAGTGGAATCAGTACGGGAAAATAATAAACACCCCCTCGACTAAGCACCCTCCTTCCAATAACTGTCCCTCCTTTATGGTGAAAGCATTAGGAAGTTTATTCAAGGATATATGGAATTTTAAAAATGGTTGATCTAACTATGTTTAATTTAACAATTAGTTCAGAGCTGTGGAAGGTTTTGTTTACTTTTGATTGAATGTTGGTTACAGTTAGTGGATGTTATTATTAGTGATTAATACCAGTATGCTAGCAATGAAGATTCGTTGTTTTTTCTTTATGATGGGCATGCTGACTCATTCTCCCCTTAAGAAGCAATTAGCCCTTTGCTGAAGTTAGAATATTGTGAATAAATTACTTGATAAATGAACTACAAAACAGAAGTATTTTAAGAGACAGTTGATTATTTTTTTGCCTGTTTTCATATGAAATTTTTTTCAAGAGTCTTTTGTTATGTAGGAAGTGTAGAGCTGTAATCAGTTCTTTTATGATAACACTCGTAGACCTCAAAGTAGTCTTACAAAGTCTGTGGAATCATTAATAAATTAATTTTTGAGAAGAAACAAAAACAAAACTAAGCTAAAAACAAACCAAAGGAGGTGAAAAAGAACCAATTTTATGTTAGAAGAATCCAAAAGACATTGAAACGTCCCTTTCCCATGTTTCTAAATTAAATACAATGTAGATTTCCTAGATGATAACTCGTTTTAATTTACTGGTAGCTCTGTTTATCAGAGGAGGTGGAAAAACGAGACAAACGCCTTTTATATGTCCCACAAAAGGCCACATCAATTTACAATAGAAATTTACAGTCTTATTGTTTTTACCCTCAGGTGTTGATACAAAGGAAGCAGACAACACGAAAATGACATTAAGAAAACAGGACATTTGAGATAATCTCTAGTTGCTTCTTTCAGTTCGACAATTGCGAATGTCTGATTTTAAAAAAATAACATCGCTGGCTAATTTTTTACTTTTGAAGTTTTAAGATAATAAACCAACCACCACTGAGCTTCCGAGCGAGATTAACAGCGACAGTACTTTGTGTAATAAAATAATGTATTTAAAAAAATTAAATGATGTCGCTGTTTGACGGCAGTAAGCCGCTGCCTATAAGAATAAGCCTCAATTAAGCGGGGCCAACGTTTTTATTTAATAGCATTTACGAATAAAAGCACTCGTCTTATTTTTTCTTGCGCCATTATGAAAAGAAGGTTTAATTCAATGTTTACGACGGTGGCGCTGATACGCTCCTATGCAAATTTAATCCATCCTCATCAATAACCGTGTTTGCTCTAATCTGAATGATCTAAAGGAGATGTCTCAAAATACGAATTCGGTACCGCGTGTTTGACATTAAACAAACTCACTACCATTTAGAATTGATGTTCTATTGAAATCGTGTCGTGAGAAGTGCAGTTCGTCTGGACAACACTGTCATTCCATTAATTAGACTGAGCAACCATACCAAACAGCTGTGCCGTGATTTTCGTGTAACAATCGTAATTACACTCAACCCAGGCACTTCTCTTTTTCCTTTTTTAATCTCATGCACTTCAGTTTAAAACGCGCTCTCATGCAAACGAATGATATGGAGTTGGTCGAGTTGGGGATGTCAGAGCGCACGGTCCGGAAGCTGTTCCAATCGTTTTTGATGTACACGTAACGATTTTAACCCAGCTGCACTTGTGTCTCGGGCCAGCTAATTACGCTGGATTGTGCATTTCCCTCTTAGCATTATTATAAATATTATCAAACACTTGCAGCTTACAGTTTTGGAACTGACCATCCCGGACGCACACCCTGTGTTGTTCGTGGCAAATTCCCGAGTGATCAGGCTGTGCGGTTGCTGTCGAGAAACAAATGAATAGAATTGCTGTGTCACAATGATATCAGTTTAGTGGGAAAAGTACGCCTGCATTTCAGTAGTCTTTTCACTGTACGCGCTAAAGGTGTGATCAAAAGGAACGTGCAAATTTAGGAAGTATTCTAAAGAAACAAATGCGCTCACATAAACCATGGAAAAATGTAAATAATAATAGAGAAAAAGCTTCATTAATACCGCCTTAAGAGGCCAAAATTCACCTTTGAAATGGCATCCGACGAACAAAGTGATCCAAAGCCAGACTAGATGCGCGTTAGATTCCCTAGCCATTCCAGTTTTCAATGGCTTGTCTCTCTAGTTTCTCCCTATTGTGACATTCTTTCGTTGATCTCAAAGAAGTCTTCTGACGAATCCGGCACATGTAAACAAGGAGAGCGGCTGAGGTTTATGCTAACTCTGCCGTCTCCCGTCTATGATAGTGCGGTGATCTTGTTTCATTCGACTGTTACCCCCGCGTCACGTAAGAACGTGTCAATATTAGCGGAAATTTATAATACAAAAATTGCCAAGTTTGGATCTCTGTCTAGATAAACAAAAAATAAGAGTCCTAAGAACCCAAATCAGTTGAGAATTCGGTGCAAATTCAAAGATTTCGCTTGCACTACAGTTACCGCTAACACCTGATAAAATGTAATTTTCCAGAATTGCATTGTTCTGACGTTTCTGCACGTCCTTCATTGGGCATTTGGTAGCCAAAGGCAAAAAGCGTAAATGACGTTAATCTCTTATGAAAGGAACCGCTCGAGAGGAAATTATTTTACGACGCACCAAACGGATTTTGCAGTTTTTAATGAACTATTTTGTCTCCCTAGCTTTCTAAGCACAGGCGTATGAGTTCTCACGGTTGGAAACACAGAAACGCAAACGAGATGAAATTCGAATTAAATTGTTACTAACAACACAGCGTGCTGCTTGAACTTCACGGGGCAAATATTGTTAATGGGCAATTAGTGAAGCTTGACAAAGTTCTTCTACACTATTTCTTATAAGTAAGGCATAATCGTGGCCTAAGTTATTGGGGAATCAAACACGCAATAGAGGGCCATGTAAAGAACGACATTTTAGTTTCAGAGAGAGAGAGACAGAGAGGGAGGGAGCAGGTGACACGCACGCCAGTTTGTCAATTAGCGATTGCCATGGCAAGGCGTGCGTAAATGGAACTCGTCAATGCCAGAATTGATTGAAGTGGTTCTAGAAGTGCTTTTTAGATTTGTTTTGTTCGTTACCGCGTGTATAAATTGACTTTCACTATTCTAAAATACCAGATTGTGTGTGTGTGTGTGTGTGTGTGTGTGTGTGTCTCGGAAATGCGTTAGGAGACGTTTACAATGAAGGAAATCTTAATCTCCTTAGTTGACAATCGGTGAACGCATGAAAGTCGGTTGTGGTCAGGATTTTGGAAGAGTTTATTTGCGATTTACGCTAATATTTTTCTTGGTTTGTTTTTAACGATCAGTAAGTTAATGCTTCTGGTGTTGCGTCTGCTTAACTTTCAGTAGGGGATGAAGATGATTTGAACTAGGAAACCTAGACCATTAGGCAAACTAACATGTAGATTTTGAAGTTTATACTCGGTTGTTGTGGGATGTGACAACAGTTAGAAAAAATGCTTTTGTTTTTAGGACTTACTGATAATCGACTAATTTTTTAGATGTTTTTTCCTTTCCATTGCAAAAGTGTGTGTTTAGTCTTTCTTTTGTAAATTGGGCTTCATGCTGTGTAAATAAAACTTCGAAATACCCTTTTTAATGGTTATTATCTTTTTGTGTGGTGGGTGTTCCCCCAAGCTCTAAAAAGTTTTAGATTCTGTGATGGAAAAAAAATTAAAAATAAGGAAATGAAACTGTGCCTATGGGATTCGTTGCTGATTATGCGTTTTCTTTAAACTAATCAGAGTCGAGAAAGTATGGTCTGTAAATTATTATGCATATTTGATACCGTGACGGTATCTAGTTTCATACATTTTCTTTTGTTTGTTTTGTTTTGAATTTTCATTTAGATTTACAATTATTCTAGTTCATATATTTACTTCTAGACTTCAGCTAATTTAGTACACCGCTTCAGGACTTTTTGAATACATACGTCTGATTAAGGGTACAGTTTTTCGTTAACATGAGAGATTTTCAGTTCATTTTTTTCCAGGTTTAAATGAAATCATAGTCCCATCATGTTAGATCTGTTTAGCTCGCAGGTGACTAGGCGCTTGAGTCCAAACTCTTTCAGCTCTTCTTTTTTGAAATAAAAGAGTTGCTAGTGATCCAGCTGAGATGAAGGTGCAAAATTGAAAACAGTATGAATTCATATTTTCCAATATTGATTGAAAGCGTTTATCTGTGACCACAACAAACTGGGAGCCTGACGGTAAAAATGCAATTACATAATTGGATCGTTGAAGAGACCTCCTCAATGCACGGGATATGATGAGGTTACTGTGATGACCCTTTGACGAGTAGTTTCCTTTTGTTTCAGTCTTACATCGAATTTTGACTACTGAGTACGGAAAAAACCTTAAGACAGCCCGTCAAAAGAGTTGAACTGATTTAATAGCTTAGTTGTCCTTGTTGACTCTCGGCCAAACAATTCTAACGAATCCTCTGTTCCTGAAGTTATTTTTGAAATTGGTCACGAGTGCTTCCTTCCTTTGACGCGTTGGAATTTCTATTAGACTTTGTTTTTGCGGCTTCTTGGCTTTGGCATTTGGAGGCTTCACATGAACAGGATGAATAAACGTAACAAAATGTAATTGGCTTATTTGTCATCCGCCATTTCATTGGCGGATGGCTTGTCTTGTTGACAGACAACTGGGAGAAAGCGTGACATTTGTCATAAAAGCAAAATGTCCAAAAGGAAAAAAAAATCGTGAAATTCAAGTGGAGTGGTACGATTTGGATGAATTAACATTGTACTTATGGTTGGCGAATTTCCATGAAACATGATGGCCTGATCATTTGCCAACCAATAAATAGCAAGCGTTAGTCAGTGATTTGTTTCAATTAAATGCTTCGCTTATGGTTGCCTCTGGCAAACATTATGAATTGTTTACCACTGAAATGTCCAAAGTAAGCTATAAAAAAGAGCTAATATTCCTCGTGTTTATTTTATGAGTTTAAATACAGAATTAATATGACAGATAGGCGCCAGCTCATGCTATTTTTAAATATCGTAGTTTACCTCCAGGCGGGGAATGCTTATCAGATACTGTTTTTTTTCTTTGTAGATTCTCTTTGAAGAATTCTGTCTCTTCTAAGATTTCTGTTTATTTTTTTAAGCCATGTGCGTCGAGTTTGTAATTTCTTTCACGAAAGCGGAGGATCAATGTTTTTACCTAATCCCAATGACATCTTGAATTACGTTTAATTGCTTTTTTACAAGTACGGCTTCACTCATTCTGCGGTTTATTCCTATTAGAGACGGTTTTCGGATCTCTTTTAAAATCTAAATATAGCTCCTTTATCGTTTTTCATCTACTTAGAAATTAACACCTCAATAGATTCACCAGCTCGGATAAGTTATTTAAATTTGACGTAAACACTTGAGGCAGGGTAAAGGCCACGGTTTACGTGCGGCTTGGCGAGGCTTGTCACACGAAAGGAAACAAACTAAACAAAAGTTTACGTTCTGATCACTTCGAATGAATCAGGTCTAGCTTTCTACATGTACAGTTTTGGATGGAAAAGGAAACTACAAATAATTTAGTAGAGCTAATATTTTAATGTCACGAAACCTCCCCTTGCCTGGATTGCTCACGTGTTCCTATGTGCAAACCGTGATTTGTGACCATGTTGACAGATTTGGGCAGCAGCTAACCAATCGGCTTTGCTAACCATCTGATTCGAGGTCATAGGGCGACAACGATGAACCAACAGGTGTAGCACGTTGAACGTTGTGTTTGGCATGTATGATAGTCATTTCAAAATTATTGTGTAGACTTTTAATGATCACCACCAACTAAAAGTGGATGCTTCAGTTTCCTGACAATCTTGATACTCTTTTTTCATAGTGTATACGTAAACATCGATGCTTAAGGTACTGACGTCAGCAAAGTCAGAAGCTTGTCACCCAACTTCGTAAGAGGGAAACTGCTGAAATGCTCTTTAGTTTCTGTAATTTTTTGGTTCATAGTCCGAAATCCAATTTTCCTAAGATAATTACGATTTACTTACCCCATAGGATTCCTCAACCGCACCCAGTGACACACACTCATTCCAGCAAGACAGACTTGAACTCATGCCCCAATAACTCTTAATATTGCGCTTGAAGGGTTTTACATGAATCAAGTATTATCAAGTTACCTTTGGTATTTTGAGGGGGCAGCTCCCCACGGAAATACATCTCTGCTGGAGTTATATTTTGAGTTAAATGACCGATTGATTTGATGGAGATACACCTGCCTATGCAATTTTTAAACAGCTTAGTTTACCTCTAGTCGGTGAATGCTCATCAGAGACCGTCACAAAAGACAGGGGTCTTGTTCGAAGTAATTACGTTTAGCTCAAATCTGCGAAGTAAAGCAGTGTAACTGCTGTAACTGCGCTGTAACTGCTGTATAGGAGACTGGGGGGTGGGGAGAAATAGGCTTCGTGACCATTTTTAGCCCGTTGGCTTTTTCGATCAGCGAGGCCCTGTCAGGGGCGAGGGGAGGGGGTCCAGTTATTCTTTATCCCTTTAATTTGGAACCAAATGTCCCTAAAACTTCCAAGGCTTTTATCCCTAAAAGTACCTCGGTTTAAATTTTTCAACCAACGAAACAGGCGATGGTATGAACGAGATAATTTTTTTTTTCGAGAATCATTATCAGCTTGCCTCAGACATTCGTGTCACGTCAGTCTTGATACCACTGCAGGCATATTGGTGGCATTTCAAAAGATGGTCAGTTGTAATCCATCACCTAAGTCTACAGGATCTTAGCTTCGAAGAATGCTAGCTCAAAGTGCGGCCCCCCCTACGTCGACTCAAATGTTGGTTATGAATTTTAGATACTTCCATGACAGATTCAAATTATTTTAATTGAATTCAACATTTTGTGTTCGACGTTTTTCAGAATTTCTCTTCGAGTTTCTTAAAGGCAAAGAAAGGGTTTAAAAATGGAATAGTATTTAATTCAAAATATAATTTTGAAATTGTTACAGTTTGCTTTCGGTCAAACGTCAACTAAAATTGCTCAATGTTTCAATAAAAAACGTTACCATTTGAACAAAAGTAACTCGGGGTAAACCTTTGACGAGAAACAGTTTTTATACGCTAAGGGAGAAAACAAGTAGAATGGTTTCTTTCGTTCTTTGGCGCTAGTGAACGTTAGTAGAGGACAAAATCTGAGCTGTTTTTTTTGGGGCTGATCGTCTTCCTGATTTTGTTGCAACCGTTAGAACTTTATCTTCAGGCTGCAGTCATGGCCTTATTCGGTTTCATCTAACACCTCACTAACAGTCCTGGTATCGTCATCGTCTAGGGTATCTACTAGTGGACAGTAGTAAACATCATCCCCAGGAACAACTGTGTCATCTTCTTTTGTGGGGTTTACAACATTACTATTAATGCTGGCCTTATTAAGCTCTCAGTTTAGCAGTTGTTTCCACAAATTGAAATGGAGGTAGAGGATCTTGTGATGGCATATAGGTTCTCGTCAAGTCTGGCTATATAGAAGGGTTACGGCTGCTTTTGAAGCTGGTGAGATTCTTTGACACGGTAGACCTTTGACACGTGACAAGCAAAAGTACCTTCAGAAATAACGACCTCTGAGGCACTCAGGAGTGGTTAGGAGCTAATACCTCGTCAGAAGTGATGTCTTGTTCCCCTCGTGCAAGTTCTGCAAAGTCTACTGAAATAGTACGAAGAGCCACTTGCGTAGTGTATGAGACTTCTGTGGGTAACACGCTCAGATGTTATATACTCTTCACTGCACTGGAAAAGCGACGAGGAAATTGTAAAACATAGGGCATTTATTTCCTTGACTCGTCTTTGCGAAAAGATTTTCGAAGACGAGTGTGGTGAGTGATTTCAAGTTGACGCTGTCAAAAAGCGGTGTGGAAATATCATGAAGTGTAACGCAAATCCTTTCCAGAGCTTGATGTCCTACGTCATTTGAACAGAACACACGTCATCTGGACCTTTATCATTTGACAATCAGTGCTGTTGGTGGCTAGTAAGTTCTCGGGAAGTGCTTCCCAGGTTCTTTCTGCAGCCTCCACTGGCGTCTTTATCAGTCTGTCTATAGTAAAATATTCCTCCTCTTTTTGTTGAAAATAAGGCGACGAATAATTTGTTTTGAACAGACAACCCCGAAAACCTGCGTGTGGGAACCAATGCTCTGTAGAGGCGAGGCTCTTATGTCAATATCATTTAACAACAGCCGAACACGCAAAACACTTCTTGTTGACCTGAAAATGCAACACCGTCGGTTCTCCCACACCGCTTTGATGATCAAAGTACTCTTCAGTTTGGTTCCATTTGAAGTTTGGAGTAAGCTTCCACTTTGCATTTCGGACGATGCAAGTTCCTCGTGTGGACCACTTTCTTGGCTGCTGTCCAGTTTGATTGCTTTTGCTGTTGGTCTTTCTTTTTATTGTTCTTGTCCCTTTCGGCAAGCTTCAGATCTTTCAGAATCACTTTCATATCTTTAACTGTTATTCTTTCGGGATTGTAGACAGTTTTACCTTCCAGGTTGATGGAGGAAACTTTGCTTCCAGTGTATTCTGCAACGTATACAACGACCCCCGCTCTATACACAACAGCTAGTAGCGTATTGAGACCATTACACTTTTCCGTCACATCAACAGGATAGTGTAATCGGGCTGAAAAAACTTTGCTTCTGCTCGCATCGACAAGGAGTAGTTGTCTATGGGGCCCAAGGCATATAACAGACGGATTAGTCAAATCATCTTTCTTGTTTCCCTCGCAAAGCTAGAATTTCTCTGAGATCAAAACTGACTGTGATAGTATCAACATTGGCCTGGATTATCTGGCTATCTGAGACACTGAAGATTTTAAGCATAGAATCAATGTTCATTCGGTCTCTTTTTCTACAAGCTGCCACTGTAAGGTGCTTCATCATTAATCCTTAGAGATAAGGGTCATTTCTTAATGTTCGCAACTGAACGCGATTTGTCCTAAAGCCATTTACAGTTGAATACCAGTTACTGAACTGCCCTGACATGCGCTTTCCGACATTGACAGGAGACTCGGGGAGCTTGGGATTAGCCTAAACTGATTGATGACAATGAGGTAAATGATCGATAACCGAACATAGGTGGTCATGGGTGGTGAAAAACTACCGAAAAAAAGCAGAAAAATACGAGGCAAGAATATTTAATGTGGAACCCGACCTTCATCACACCGTCCCTAAAACTATTTGCTTATCATTTATCCCCGAAATGATTTTGTTACTTATCCCTTAAATTACATGCCCAGTTATCCCTTATCCTCAAAACCCCTAACAGGGCCTCATCAATGGGGTCGGGCAACCAAAAAAATAATCCACGTTTGGGTCAATTCTTGTATTATTACACAGAAGTTATTTGGTAATGCTCAGTTTACTAAGGAAATATAAAATTGGAGTCTAATCACTTATTTCGAAACTAATACCACAAAACCAGGTGCTCTTTTTGAGGTGCCTTTTTTATTCAGTCTCACAACCTCAAACTGAGTAGTTGTTCTTTGTAATTGGGAGCATCAGCTGTCTCGCTGCCAAACCTCTTTCAGAACTCCAGCAGGTGTTAGGTTCCCTTGAAAGCTCGTTCCACTTCCAGGGTTGTGCCTTACAGGCCCTCAGTCAGTGGAGACCACCGAAGGAGCGGGCAGGTGGAAAACGACATTGTGGTCGTCAGGGGACGTTGGTGACCGCCGTCATTTTCGTTGTCCACTCTTCAGCTCATTCCAATATTCTAAAACCGACCTTGAGCAGTTGCTGTGGTACTGATTCTCACCATGGTGCATGGATGGGAGTGCATTAATTACTTGATCTTTTGTTGATAAAGGACCTGGCCAGGTCTTGGCTCCATATGTATATAGCAGGGTGGTGAGTGCCACAAGGCACCATAATCTTTTTGGTAACGCCCGTAAGAAGAGTGGCTCTTCCACACTTCTTCCAAAGCGCTTGAAGGAGCTGCTGTAACTGGGCTCAAATTGATTCTATTTGAAATAAACCACGCTTAAATCCCCTACACTGATGATTGTATAATTAAAATACTCAGCAACAACCTCGGACAGACTAAGACCACCCCACACCCATTAAAATGATGGGAAGAAGGTAACCTTTTTTAGCGATCTCTTTACCTAACTTTCTGCTTGACACGTGCAAATTAGATGGTTTTCCACGCTAATCGAGGCGATTTCATTGCGATTTGTCTATGTAATCGCGTGGGCCCAGGGCAGTTTGGAAATGATTTCACGCGCACGTGGTTTTTCGTGCTTTATATGTACGTGTCTAGAGAAAGAAAAGGAAAGGAAGGGAACCTTTCACTATTTTTATCTCAGTACTTTCTAAGGCGTCGTCGCGAAGGCCAATTCGTCACCGTTATACAGGTGTCTAGAGAAAGAAAGGCAAGGGAATCTTTCATTGTTTTAATTCAAGTACTTTCAATTTAGCACTTTGAAAGTAAAAGTTTGTGATTACTTGAACCATATGGAAAATTCAGTTTCTCGGTTCTCTCTTTCTCATTTCCATTCAGTTGAGCCTGGTTTAACCAAAAATGTTTTGCTGGTGTGAATGGGGTATAAACTACTGACTTTTAGGTATTTATTGATGCCGTTGAGGAACAAAGAGAAATGGAATAGATAAAATCAAAGAACGGAAAATTAATAAATACAGATAAGCTTGGATTATTTTTTTTTAATAAAAGTAATCACTCTTAGACTATAGATACATCTTTAAGTTGAAACATCCCCATTCAACTGAGAATGCTTATCTACTTTTATACACAAGTATTACATGGTCTTGTTTTTGAAAAGAAAAAGATAAAATTTGTCCTACTCATCTTTCCGGCTGAGCTAATTCCATTAAATTGAGTTGGTTTTGTGTAGATACTACAAATTTTTAAATGATTTTTGATGAGTTGATACTTTATGAAGTGAACATTATCTGTAGAATTCCTCTTTGATTCAAGAACTGCAGAAAAGTATTTTTTTCAAAAAGTTTTTCCCCTCTTGCGAAACTTGGCAAAGTCAGTTTTAAGTTTAATCATTTCTGAAAAACTCTGAGCCAATCTCTTACTCTTAAGGCGGGACTCTTGCTTTTATTGATGGCGTGACGTCGTTTGAAGAGACTCATAGAGGAAGTAACTGACGATGTTGATTACTTAGAAAAACTTCTACTTTGTCGTCTACCGATGTAGGCTGAATTTGAATATATTTCCAGAGAGAAATTATTTGGACACTTATTGTGGTCCAGTGCACGAAGTTTAGTTAGTAGGCAAGTTTCCTTTCCACATTCAAAAGAACAGGCAGTTTCGAGTTGACTGAACGATTTTCACTTCCTAATCGTTTTATGAATTGCAGAATGATGCAATGTAGAAAATTAGTTTTTCACCAGAACAGGTTACCTGTTCAAACAGGATGTTAATTTAGTTATTTAACATGGCTTGTTGATTCACGCACGTTGCTCAACGGACTGGATTAAGTAACCTTGTAGCTCGTCAGTTGACTGTTAGATGATAGATTCCGGGCCTTGAAAATTCTTTGTTTACCCAGCGTTTTCTCGACGCTGACCTGATGTTTCCACGTTCTTGTCCACGGCGTGCTTGTAAACAGTTTCGTGATAGACCGTATCGTGTTATTATGGTTTCTGGGTCCTGATTTTTTTCATTGTTTTCTTCCTTTTTGCTTTTTCCGCCACAACCAACTCTAATGTTGATACTCCTTTAGCGTTGGAATTTAGTTGCAACCACATTAAAGACGAGATTTAATAACGTTCTAATACACGAAAGAATCGTTTCCCGCTAACAAGTAGACTCTGGCATTATTCCAGTATTTTCATCAGAATCGTCCGTTATAGGTGTTTCCATGTCGTGAGCCAGATCGTCAATAGACTGGGCCAGTATTTGCAAATACTCCTGTAAATGAGAGAACCGTGGTAACATTCAGCAAATGGTACAAAAATGTTCAATATTGATACCTTATAGTATCAAATGGTACAAAATTATCAATATTGAAACCTTAAAGATTCATTCAACGAAGTAAACCTTGAATTGCATTTTTTCCTAGTGGAGCTGCTTGATTGTCAACGATTTCAAGTTGTAACTAAGGAACGTTGTTACTTAAAGCTTTCCAGAACCTTGACCAGTAAATTTTTCTTTGCAAGTGACTTTCTCAGTTGTGATCAAGGTCACATACGTAGTATATTGCCAGGTTATAATAATTTAAAAAACATTTTTCACATTAAGACACCTGGACATTATGAGCTTACAGGGCTCGACACTAACGGTAGTCAACTAGCCACAGACTAATAGAAATTCAGTTTTTGCCAAGTGGTTTTCGATTTTCACCAGCCAGTTTGGCTGGTAAACAAACTGAAATTGTTGTAACATCTAAGTTGTCACTAGCCACTTGGCTAGTAAGTTGAAAAGTTAGTGTCGAACCCTGAGCTTATAGTTGTTTAGACAACTTCGTGGATGCACACACGTTAGCGTTATACATACACTTGTAAGCGTTATCTGTTCACACGTGAGGGTTACCGATATATGGCCTCGTTCTCTAATTCCCCAGGCTAGAATTAATAATTAACGGTGTGGAGTTACTGGGTCAATTGTGGCCTTGGGGTACATTCTCCCTAACAGGATCACAAACTCCAGGAGGCGTAATGGTGTAAAAATGTATATATTCGTATTAATACAGGTTTGAAGGTCGTTGATGCATGCCCCCCTCTCCCCCCCCTGCCCCCAAAAAAATTGCGTAAGAGTAACATGATACCTACTTTACTCGTCATGATTGATAACATAGCATCAAAATGTTTTCTTAGATCTGTGAACGATTTTCTGTCGCAAGGGGTTTCATCCCAGCAATTCAGCATGATGTCGTATCTGGAAAATCGATGTTGAAAAAAAAGAATAAATAATTTCAGCATGTAAGCTTGTATTCCTCTAATGCACTCCTTAGTGGCTCTCGTGTCTGTCAAATTTTTAATCGTCTTAACCCAAGTTTCTTATTCCCGTCAAATGTTGCAATTTTATGATTAAATCTGACCAAAGGTTGAACTTTTGCAATGTGTTCAACAGAAATTCCACTTTTGGAATGGAAACTCGATCCCTTTTCGATAAAAAATAACCCGACTTGATGACTCAATCCAGATATCGTTGTTTAATTTGATATTGTTACGGGAAACACTGCTTAATAAATGTACATAACAACTCAGTCGTTGTTCAAATCGCGAAGCCCTCTTCTTTTTCACGGCTCCTTTGTTAACATTGCCTCAACTAAAAAATTCAGTTCCAAAGATCACATCCTATTCTTATTCCTCTTAATCTTCAAAGTAGATCGCTCGAGGAAAGTTACCAAGCATGTGATTTTCCTTAGTATTGGCCTTGACATTGATTGAGCAGGAAACGACGTCACATGAGTCCCCTTTCCGGTTTAATGCATACCAACTCAATTACGTTGTCATCAATAATCATGAGAACAGGAAACACTTAACTGTTTTTTCTTATAACTTCCCGAGTGGATTACAAGCGGCAGTTGTGAACACCATCAACAACATGACCTTGGATCATAGAACACTTCCTGTGTAGAAACCCTCACGACATTCCCGATTCAATTTTCCCGAAGAACTGGGGATTGACCTAGGGATTGAGAAAAGGCAAGCCCTTGCTTCCTCCAGCTCGAGATCGGACGAATTCATTCTGTGAATTAAGGTTTTTGTTGATAAAGTAAAGGACCTGCATCATGTAACTTACATCTCATTTGGACAATTTTGAGGCTTCTGCATCCTGTAGCCAGACTTTAACAAATCAAACAGCTTTTCTATGGGTATTCCTGGATACGGAGAACCCCCTGAAAAGAAAGACATTTCCAACTTAAGTTATTGTGAAAGTCTTGTCTTACGCCATTTTACCATGTCTTAGCTATGCAAATGGGTAAAAACCACGGCGGATTATTAGCATTCCTCCTTGCACAAAAAAGGAGGTAAAAGTACATTTTTGAAAGTACGGTTTCGAACATTTTTCGTAAATATCCTGGCTTTACTCAACATGCCCTCTTATAGACGTCCTTACCAAGGGTGAAGATCTCCCAGAGCAGTATGCCAAACGCCCAGACGTCACTTTGTGTTGTGTAAACTCGATCAAACAATGCCTCAATGGCGAGCCATTTTATCGGTAGCCGACCCTGCAAACAAAGGACATGGCCGGATACAAGTGTTACTACAAGATTCTGACATATTTTTAAAATCGCACTTTGTAAACACAAATGTGAACACTTACATCTGTAGTTTTCCTATAGTACTCCACGTCTCTGACATTTCTGGCCAGGCCAAAGTCAGCAACTTTCATAATGTAGTCTTCTCCAACAAGGATGTTTCTGGCAGCAAGGTCTCGATGAACGCACTACAGTTAGAGAGAATTCAGAATGTAATTGAAACTTTTCTTAACTTTTTGTGAAAAAAAAAAAGCTTTGCAGTTAAGGAGAAGTAGAGGGAAAACTTGAAATGTTGCTCCCTCTACTCGTACCGTAGTACTGTCATAGAACCAAATCCAAACTGATAACAAGTGCCCGTTATTACAATAAATGACGTCACAAGAAACTATCAGAACTCAAAGTTAATCTACATCTATTGCTATTGGTCTTTAACGCGGGAAAATGTTAATGACTTAGTGACCTAACTCAACGCGTCAACTATTGTTTTAAGACAAATTATAATTTCTTATTAGAGATACCATGCAAGGAGTGGTTAACTTTTGGATGGTTTAAGTATCGTATGGATAAAATTACCTTTCTTGTTCCCAGGTACTCCATTCCCCTTGCTATTTGGAAAGCAAATGAGACGAAATCCCTCATTGTTAGGGAAGGACCAGAAGGGCTAAGTTTGTGTTGTTGGTACTCAGATGGTCTTCTTTCTCTCAGAAATTGTCGAAGATTCCCGTGTGGTGCAAACTCGACAACGACAAACAGAGGACCTGAAATACATGTAAGTAAAGATCTTTACCATTTCTTTAAAGACAACGTAAGCACTAATAGGGCGCGTTATCATGTTGCTACGATGCGAATGCAGGTCTATTATTGATTTTCATATACGTTAAATGAAGGAAAATTTTGCCGTTTTTCTCTACCTGCTTGATAGAGAAGTGCCGAGCATTCAATGTATTTTTCAAATACATTTATCTTGTCTTAGGTTTGCAAACGAACAAAAAATCTAACTTTTGGAAAAGTGCCACTTACCATCTTGCGTACATGCACCGATCAGGTTAATAATGTTCTTGTGTCTTCCAATTTCCTTCATTGTATCCATTTCAGACAAAAGGTCTGCTAATTCGTTCTCAGTAGCGTCAGCTGTAAGATACAATATTTTAACGGGAAGGTGTTAAGAGGCAACCCTCATTTTTCTCAGCTTTTGTCATCACATCTATACGACAGCCTAGAAACTATTTTATAATTCACTTTGCAACAATCGCTTCAGTTTTGGGAGGTAAAAAAACAGCTTGACGTTTTTGTTGCTAACTTGGGTGTTCCACTTACACGAAGAGCCCGTTCATGTATTCTCCTCTCAATCTACCCAGCACTTACTCGAGTGTAAGTGCTGCACATTGATCTAAAGGAGGTACTTACAGGTTGAGGAAAATCGTTTTGATATACATCAACGTTTCGATGGAACACTCATCGAAATCGAAATCGTGAAAGTTACATACATGCATCTATTCGCTCGTCGAGGCTAAGCATCCTTTTCAGGAAGTAGACACCGATGGGCTAATTTTTTAAAGTGTTTCATTGTAATTTATGATTTAGAAGCTCAAGTTTTTTTTAGAATATTATTGATTTCAACGAGTCCAGTACAAAGGATTAATGTATACTAACTTACCTTTAAGCATTTTGACCGCAACTGAACATGTAGAAGGTAGGTCGGGTAAACCTACAGCATCAGCACGCATGACCAAACCAAAAGCACCTTCTCCAAGCTGTTCTCTTAACGTTATTTGAGATCTGACGATTTCCCATTCTTCGTCACAAGGCAACTCATAGAGCTCTGTAGTGACAGAAAGCTTTTTTATCAGCTGTGCTTTCTGTAATCATAAAGCCCATAGCTCAAAACTTTTTCTTCGTTTTTGTTTTTTGTATTGCTTTTTTCTGAGGAAATGGTTGTATTGAGGAAATACTAACCCTAGGTAAACTTAAATTAGCTTTGAAAAACCCAGCCCAGATAAACGTTCCTTACCTTCGGCAATGTTAGAATCAATTCTAGACGAAATACCCGAAGAAAATCGAGACCGATAGCTTCCAGTCCCGTATCTTATTAAAGGCGCTGTAGAATTTGTTGAACCAGTAGAACTTAATCTCCTCCTTGGAGCGGCATAACTGAACGTTCTAGTTGTTCCATCAGTTTGATTGGGTGTGTTAGGCTCTGACGGTAAAAGATTTAACGACGCTCTCATTGTTTCCATGTTTTGTAGTGTCACTTCCTTTTTAGGGAATTTTTCCTTTAGTCTCTTGCGATAACAGAAAACAAACACGACGATTAATATGACTGCTATTAAAAAGAACACTGAGAGAAGGATGATGATAATTAGGCCAGTCTGAGGTGGCCTTTCTTTTTCCGTTAGAAGTTCTGAGGTCTTCTCAGGTGAGGATGGCTGTTCTGTGGCTTCTGTGGCTACCGTCTCTAAAGAAAGCAAAATTAAAAAACAGTCTTCAGAATTTCCTAAGCATGGCCATGGTTCTACATACAAATAAAACAGTTAAAATTGCAGTAGTATGTCAGGTGTTGGGTTTCTTCGGGTGGTGAAATGTGTTTCTTCTCGTGGCTATAACGATGATGTGTTTTCCCAAGCTTGATCACCAAGTTTATGGGAAAGTAACATTTCAGTCACAGACGTGTGCAGTATTACAATTGACAGTATGCACAAGTAAAACAATTTTCAAATTGATTACAGTACCTATGGAAATATTAGTTAGAGACGATAATTTGGTCAACCGAGTTAGTGGCCATAGACGAGGATAGATCTCGTCAGCACGTCACCGCTCACAGGGTATAGTTCATGGTTCTTACATAGAAAGATGCTAATAGGCGCTTGTGATATGTTGCTGGGGTGACATAATGAAGTAACGGAAAAAATTGCATTCTGCAACAGGGACTGGCTGCCCACCTAGGTAATGGCGGCTGTTATTCTAAGGCATGTCACAGGTCTTAACCACTCGACTCCTGATAGTGACGAAGAAGTGATTCTCCTCACCATATCAATAAATTGTCGAGCACAATGGTGATTGGAAAAAGGGGATATTGATTAACTTAAGACAACATTCTACAAACTACAATAACAAAGGAGGTCTAAAAACTACTATTACAAGGGATGTGTGGCAGACGGTTATGAGAATTTGGAGAGAGTTAAATCATAAAGTGTGATTGGGTAAGAACTTTCCTGAGAAGTACCCTTTAGTAACTATGTGGAATGCTTTACTTAAAGCGCAATCGATATATCGCTCCGCTAGGTGTGCATGTGAGAAAGTTTGCAGCGCCGTGTTTAAAACAGATACTGACCTGACACAGGAACCGTGGGTTTCACATATTTGATGAGGTATGTACTCCTGAAATCCCTGCCAATATGATTGCTCACAAAGCAAGTGTAGAGTCCAAAATCATCCTCGGTCACATTTACAATAGTCACCTCGACACCATAATTACTTTTAACTTGAACAGTCTCGTAATAGTATGGGTCTATAAGTCGATATGATCCATTCAAGATGTCTTTGTAAGTTTTAGGCATAGAAGTGACGGATTTGTTCCATTTAAGCCATCTGAAATCCGGGAGAGTTCCACTAACTAGAACAAAACAGGTAAATGTCACGTTATCTCCAACCTGCACAGTTTTGTTCTTTGGAAGATCGGTTTGTAGGATTGGAGCTGACCGGGGTCTAGCTGTTGAGAAAAGGGAAAATAATTTTGAAGTGAGGATACTTGATTTCGACATGATGTGCCAATCACAAGCCAGCAAACAAATTTTCAAACGCTGACAAATTTGCGACATCTGGAAAATTACGAGTCCTTGTGTGTCCCAAATTGCTCGAAAAACTTGTTGATATCACAGTAGATGGTGTACTGTCTCTATTGTCTGCCTATATCGATATTACCATTTGTTATTGTGCCGTCTTGAGGCTTTTTTCCGATATCTTTTTTTCTCTCTGAATCGTAAATGTCACTATTCTCTACTGAAATTACAACAATTTTCCCCCAGGAATGTCGCCCTCTTGAAGTGTTTGGAAGTAACACACACTTTCAGTTCAAAATTATACAAAATTTATGCATTTGTTTTTCTTTTTTTGAAGTGAAAACAAACAAAAAACAAAGCAAAACAAAAAAAGAAAAACATTCCCAAATCATTGATCGAGTTGGTTTTTACAGTGTTATAAAAGTTAAATTATAAATCAGCAACAATTTCATTTTCTATACTTACCAACAACTTGAAGAGTAAAGGTGTGATTTATTGATCCATAACGATTGGATACTAGACAAGTGTATCTCCCAGAATCAGAGGGTACAAGCTCGCGCAGTTTTAAGTACCAAAGGGAGTTATTAACATATGGATCCAAACGTCGCTTTTGTACGACCTTTCCGTCCTTTAACCATTTGTATTTGAGCGGTGGTGCACCAGTTGCTTTACATTTCAGTCGTATGGAGTGTGATGCAGGCCATGCCCTGAATGATCTCATCAGAAAATTTGGATCGCTAAATACTGGTGCTCCTGCTAAAGCGCGAAAACAAAAAAACCAAAATAATAAAGCTCGTACCTACCTACCAACCTACCTACTAATGATGGTAACAGAACTAAGTGAAGTCCAATTCGCTGTGTGACCATACGAGTGGTTACAAAATCGAATGAACGCCGACACGAAGCTGGAGTTCGATTTGCTAATCGCGAGGATGATTACAGACAATTGGACGACACGAAGTCATGTTTCCAATTAATCAAAACTTTAAAAATTAATTACAAAACAAACCATATACATAAGAAAGAACAGTTAACTCTACGAAGTGCGCGACAGCAGCGCGTGCACTTGTAACGCGTTAACTTCCCTACTACACTGTCCAATTACAAGCATGACTCCTACTATGTCCCCTCAGTGCTCAAGTCAGGTGTTTGATTATAGTTTCGATTACTGGTGTTAACGAAGGACCACTTTTTATAGTATATTTATTCCGCATGTGCCTCTCTCCTATTTGTTGGTATTCATTGCCTCTTTTCACGAGAGGGTTATGCTTTTGGCTTAGTGCAGTGACCACGCCTTCTTCCAATGAGCTTTCATCCATTAGTTGCCCAAAACAATCATAAAAGATGACAGATACTCACTTGATTCCGTTGTCTTGAGATTCGTCGTTAAATCTGAAAATAGAGAGATTGTTGGTAAAGACCTTGAACCTCCAAAATTGTGGTTTGGGGATATAACGGTGTTTAGTCTTGTTAAGATATGCCGGCTTAGGTACATGCACGTACTCTGAGCTTAGGGTGCAAAGTGTCAAAAAGTCTTATTTCTGTCTTTTTATTCAAGCAGAAATCATTACAAGGAAACCTCAATCAACAATTTATGAATAGCCACCAAAGTACAATGAATATATGAAGTTCATATATTTTGAACTGCGGCTGTACATACGTATGATGCACGATCCTCGCAGTAGAGAGCGCTATTTATGCAATTTTTACGAAAATTGGTAGAGCGCTGCACTAGTATCGCAAAGGTCAGTGGTTTGAATCCTGTACAGGCCTGATTTTTTTCAGGTCTGATTTTCGCTATTGCATAAATAGCGCTCTCTACTGCGAGGATCGTGCATCATACGTATCTACAACCGCAGTTCAAAATATATGAACTTCATATATTCATTGTACCTGATTTATCATCACGGGTTTATTACGAATCAACTTAACGGCCTGCTCCCAGTTGGCTTGTTAGCTCAATTGGTAGAGCGCTGCACTAGTATCGCAGAGGTCAGTGGTTCGAATCCCGTACAGGCCTGATTTTTTTCAGGTCTGATTTTCGCTATTGCATAAATAGCGCTCTCTACTGCGAGGATCGTGCATCATACGTATCTACAACCGCAGTTCAAAATATATGAACTTCATATATTCATTGTATCTGATTTATCATCACGGGTTTATTACGAATCAACTTAACGGCCTGCTCCCAGTTGGCTTGTTAGCTCAATTGGTAGAGCGCTGCACTAGTATCGCAGAGGTCAGTGGTTCGAATCCCGTACAGGCCTGATTTTTTTCAGGTCTGATTTTCGCTATTGCATAAATAGCGCTCTCTACTGCGAGGATCGTGCATCATACGTATCTACAACCGCAGTTCAAAATATATGAACTTCATATATTCATTGTACCAAA